ACCGGAATGCCAAAAAAACGGGGGTCTGCCCCCAGAGGCTGTATCGCCGTCTGCCGGAAGTCAGACACCGAACACAGCCGATGGGTTCTGAGAATGGGATAAGGATAAAAATTTGTGATCGTATTCATTAGCACTAGGGTGACTGTGAGACCATATATCATGGTATGAAAATTTATTGTTATTATACCACGTGCATGAAGAATCTGCTCGGTTGCCTGTCAGACTACTTTCATTTAAAAATAGAGGGTTTGTAGGGTGCTTTCAGACCTAGAGTTGTCTTGCTTTGGTCTGAATCAGGGACTAATTTTGTTACAAAGTTGTATAATTGCCTAGAGTTGGTTTGTGTTCTCACGGCAGCATTACAAATGGACCAGATCAAATGCCTTGTGTAAGAAAGCTGCTCTTGATTGGTCAGAATTTCCATGTGGGAAAAATCCAGGAAGTAAACAAAACATTGAAGAAGAGTACACTTGCAAGATGAATGTGACACTTTCTAATGTCACAATGGAGGGACAACTACGCAGGTTGATTTTAGCGCTGCTCATCGTGGACTATATTGCTGTCATTGTTCATTTTAGTCAAACCATACAGTTTGAAAAAAAGGCGCGGCTCCAACTAGAAAACAATGTTTTGATGCATTGGATGTGCTGAATGTGCATATTAAGGCAGTACAGGAGGAGGTGCACATTAATAATCCTCCAGGACTGTAACATGCTCATGTTTAACCCAAACAATGTGTCATGTGACTGCAGTTGGTTCAGATCCACATCGGAACACGTTTTCAACACAAATGAACCGCACCAGAGTTCGTTTGTAACCGGACTGAGACCACCTCTTCAAGAAGGTCTCTGTCTGGTTGTTTTGCTGCACACCTGAGTGTGATTGCTGTGTTGACACCTGCCCAAACCAACCGCACTTAGGGGGCAAATGAACTTGAGTTCAATTGAACCAAACCAAACAGGGCAGGGTTCATTCAACCAAAAAAAACCCTTTTGTTGTAACTGATGATTATAATAGTGTTTTCACTGTATACTGTGAAACCCTGATATTTTCTGAGATATAGTACTGTGAAAATCTCAGCCACCATTATTAGCACACGAGTGCAGGTAATGTGATTTGTTTCTTTGCTAGGTAGTCGTTGATCAAACTTGCAACCCTTGGGTCACACCAGAAGGCATGTTTCAGTCGAGTCGAGTCAGGCTGTGTGTTGTTGCCACTAACTGTGGCACAGAGCGCTATGAGTCATCTCTGCTCTGTCTGCTGACTGAAGACACACTGTCTCTGCTCTCCACTCGGCTTCTGTCTTTGCGTCTCTTTGTATCTCCTCCCTCCCGCTGCAGCTTTGTGTTGGCGTGGGTCGGCCTCTTGTCATTCCCCTTTGCCTCTGTTCTTGTTCTTCACTTGATCTTCCTCTTGAGACAGTCTTTTGCCTTCCTGTTAGACAAAACAAAAAAAAATCTGCTCTTGCCTTTTAATATCACTGATTCATTTTGATAGTGCAGTTGTTTTTCTTGTGGTTGTCCTTGAGTTCTTTGTTTTATTGTGTCTTCTCTTGGCTGTTGTGTTTCTGCAGTGCTCTTGGGTGGGCAGTACTGCCTTGTTAGTGAAATCTGAGGTTCTGTCGGTGCCATTTTTTTCTTTTTCCCTCAAGCCATGGTGGCTATCACTGCTCGTGCTGACTAAGCGGTACAGTCTGCACATAATGCATCATCCTATAACTGAGAACTTAAATGGAGTTTGACATTTGTCAAAACTTCTCATGATGATACTGCAATAGGTTAGGGGCAGTGATGAAGCCAGTGCTGCAAGCCTTCTTTTAATTAAAGCTAAAGTTTGTCCTTCTAATGTACAACACGTTTGATTTTTAAGCATTTATCTGGTATTTTTGTTGTATTTCTTTTTTTAGAAGGCAGTAGAGAGCTTACAGGAAATGAGGAAGAGAGAGATGGTGGATGACATGCAACAAAGGTCTGTGGCTGGACTCAAACAAGAGACATTGGGTGTACATAGTGAGCGTCTCAGACCTCTAGGTCAGAGGTTCTCAGTTGTTTTTCAGCCAAAGACCCCTTACAAGATACTATAGAGCAGTGGTTCCCAACTGGTCCAGCCACAGGGTCCAGATTTAGTTCAAGGTTCATATTCAGTGTCATACTTGGGTTTGGCCACGTCGTCGAGCTGGTTTGCTGTCTATCTCAAGTAGCTGTCCATTACTCCTCACTCTACAGCAGGAAACATCTCGGAATAAAAGCTCTGTGCCGGACTGTGACCCATACACTGTTGTAGAAAATATAGCGGGAAGTGGACCCCCTCTTGTACGTCCTTTGGAATGATTTGACTTAGCCTTTCTTTTTTTTTTACGCTTCTGTAGTCTTAATTATTTGAAAAAGCAAAACACAAGAGAAATGTGTAAGAGATATTAGACATGTATTAAAAGTATCTGCAGTATCTTAGCACAGAATACCCAAACAACAATGCAGCTGACTTCAGTTCAGTTAGCTGCAGGTAACACTGTACCTAAACAAAATATAAAATGCAAATCAAGAGATAAGGGCCAATTTGAAGTGCATTTCAGAACACACACATTTCAAAAGAGGTGTGAAGTCAAGTGTTTTACTCTAAGACCTCATATAGGCTAAATGAAAGGCAGATTCTGATTGTTTTCAAATAGAATACAATGTGTTGAATGATTTCATGTCATGATAATTTCAGTAATTGAATTAGAGAATGTTTCATGGACGTTTTGGTATAGTGCCACAGATCCCTGGGTGTCCCCAGACCCCATTTTGAGAATCACTGCCCTGGGCCAGAGGGATAAGCGCCCCCAGCACTTTTTAATCATCAGTTGGTTTCAAGATACATCTCTAGGATGTGCTGAGATGCATCACCAGTGATGTTCCCAGGGTCATAGGGGGTTTCAAGTCTTTCAACTTCAGACCCCCTCACCCAGGTGACCCATCTGGGGTTGATCAAGTCCCAGCAACAGCAATCCACAGCTCACCCTCTTTATCTAAAGCCACCGAATGGCTTTCTCTGTGGCTTCAGTAACGGAGACCCCTCGATTGACTTGAGATTCTTCAAGTCGAGCAGCCGATTCCTTTTTGTTTTTTTTTTTGTTTTTGTCAGTCACTATGCAATGTATTTCTGCTACAGAGTGAGCACTCCTCGCTCTCATGCTGCTCTTCAGTACAGGCAGCTGCGGACCCAGACCTACAGTGAGTCAGAGTGAGACGAAGGCAGCTGCCTGGAGGAACAGATGCATTGCCCTGTCAGGCTCCGAGATAATGTCATCTTCTGCCTTCTACTTAGAGGTGGTGAATTTACAGCTCACAGCAACTTCGTGTGAAAGTCTCTGGCTTTTGTTTGATGCGTAGCGTCAGCACATTTCAATCCCTCGTTAGCATAGTTAGAACTTAGTAGAGCTCTCTTGGCTACTGACTGTATTATGTGAGGGTAGCTGTCACCCTAAACGTCTCGGCGAACCCTGTTTAAACTCTCAGTCAGGTGCAGCCCTACATATATTCTAAGTAGTTTTAGTCTTGTCTTTATCGAGATGAAGTCACTTAGTACAAACATCTAAGAACGGAAATTGAAATGCTCCTTATATTTTTTTATTTGCAGAAAATCTCTGTCCTCGTGTGATAATATCAAAATGGAATTGATTCAAATACCAGAGGCTTTTTTATATTCTTATAAAAGAGTTTATCCTCCACCTGTCCAATAAAGTGAACAAGCCAGAATGTGAAATGTCATGTTTTCCCCTCTAGTGTTGGATAAATATGCAGGTGAGGCAGCAGCCAGCATCGGGGTGGATGGGGGCGTCTCTGTATCTGTTGGTCTCTGCTCTGACACCAGAAGTGTTTGAGGCATGACACATAACTTCAAGATGTTCGTGGTGTTGAAGCTCTTATTTTGTCTCAAAAGCTGAAAGTCTTGGTTCTATCAGTTCACTTTAAGTGTCTTTCTCTCTCACACACACACGCGCTCTCATTCTCACACACATACTTCTGCAATGTCACACACTCGCACATTCTTGGCCTGAGAGAAGCAATTCATGTCCCCTCTGAAAGGCCATCTTTTATTCATGTGTATTTCATATAGAATTCCCCTCCCGCCTCGCCAGCGCTGCTGCTAAATGTAAACACAGCTCAGCTATTTATAGACAATCAGCCCCAGTATCCTGCAGAAATCCCGCTTTACGACAAATGTCAGCTTTTCAGGAATACAGGAAAAACCGTCTTGATTTCCTGTTGAAGTCGACACATTCCTCCGTCACCCCGCCTTATCTGACCGTGGGTTGTGAATGAGCTGTGAATGAGCTATGCATGAATTGTGGTATTTGGAATTTGCTTTGAACTGGTTGGGGATAACACATTGAATAATTAGCATTCTTGCTAGTTGCATTAGAAACATAGCATTCGTAATTCAGGACAAATACAGTGAGTGTGATTCTGATGCTGATTCTGCATTTAAAAGCATCAGATGTGTCGATAAGATAAAGGATGAGGGATTGTGTGTCTGACAAATGGATTATAGGTTTTTGTAAAGGGGATTCAGCCTCTCTGAATTAAAGTATCCGTTAGACTTTTCCATTATACCTGCTGTTTCTCCTGTGCACATGTCTCCATCATAGCTGTATGACCTTTTCCACAGGGGGCTGCGTTAATGAGAGGATGGAATATGATCCAGGGAGGCCACTTTGAGCAACAGATCCATGAGTTTGACGGTTAAATACTAGTTAAAACTAGTTTACACCGCCAGGTGGACGGGATTTTACAAGTTATCACAGCTGCAATCAGTTTATCCTTCATGTCAGGCGTGAAGAGAAATGCGGCATTCATGTTATCTGATTATCAACACACATTGCTTGATGACGTCACATTGCGTTGTGGCAAAAGTTGAGCCAGGTTCAGGTTTTTCGCTGGATCTTCAGATTTCCTAAACATCACATAAACCTGGTGTCTGTAACTTAATAACTCATGTCCTCTCTTCCCCTCCTATAGGCTCGTAATGTCAACACAGGAGAGCTGGCTGCTATCAAAGTCATCAAACTGGAACCGGGTGAGTTATCTCATCTTTCTTTACCCACCTTTATCTCCCCTTTTGCTTATCTATCTTCCCAACATCAACCTTTATCTCAATCACCTTCTATTCTCTTCTTTTTCCTTTCTCCTGTCCCCCCCCTACCTTTTTTTTTTAATTTAGCTTTTCTTTTCTTTGTCAGGCTCCTTTTCATAAACCTCTTTCCTACACTCAAGTGCTGCAGGGTTTCCTTCTTCCGCTCTTCCAGTAAAGAAAGGAAAACATAAGAAAAAAAAGCTTAACGAGTCACAGGAAGTGGGGGAATGTATCATTGTGCTGTTGCTAAATATTTGAGGTCTTCAAGTGTGGAAATTAAAAAAGGAAAATAGGTTGAAATCTGCTCTGCTGCTCTCATCTTTTTGCACTGGCTCCATGAGTCTGCCACCATATTTTAGCCACACACACACTGACACAAACACAAATCCAAGAACAAACCCACCTCTCCTCTTCTCTGTTGCTATATAAATAATGACAACCATGTCAAGCATGAAAGGAGCAGTGTGTGGGATTTTGTGGCATCTAGCGGTGAGGATTGCAGATTGCAGCCAGCTGAACTTTTCTTATGTGCCAAGCGCCAACTCTCGCTTAGGATTCCTTCAGTGTTTATTGTTCAGGAGGTTTTCCCACTCTTTATTATCTGCCAAGGTTTCTTCTTCTCCAAATGGGCCACTTGCCCGTCAGCGTTTGCTCACCTTTTTTCAGTGATAACTTAAAGATCCAGGTGTTCAGGAGGTTTTTACAGGGAGCCAAACTAGTTCTCTTCCTCTCCAAAATAATCAGACGCAATAATTTAAACCAGTAAAACCACTGGATAAAGCAATTTCAGCTTACAAATCAGTGTTGTTTTGACGCTGCACGTTGTGGAGGAGCTGCTAAACACAGTGGCCGATGGGGGAAAAGCGAGAACACAAAAGGCCCTATCTAGAGCCAGTGTTTGGTTTGTCCATTCTGGGCTACTGTAGAAACATGGTGGTGTGATATGGCAAACTTTGTGCACCAGGACCCACTACCTATGTAAATTTGAAGGTATCGAAAACAGGACGATTCTTATTGTCAGGTGATTATACACTAAAGAAAACATACTTATTATATTAAATTCCATTTCTATCAATATATCTACCTACCTATCTCGTACACACTGGATCTTTATGTTACCAGATTATCACTATGAAAGTAATTTGTGTGTGTGTACACGTTGTCTCTAGGTGAGGACTTTGCTGTTGTCCAGCAGGAGATTATAATGATGAAGGACTGTAAACACTCCAACATTGTAGCCTATTTTGGCAGTTATCTCCGGTAAGTGTGTGTGTATGATATGTGTGTGTCAAATGTATGATGATATTAAAGCTTTGTACTATAGCATGCACGCCTCTTTGTTTGTCAGAGAGAAACGAGAGATGAGCTAGTGTGTGTGTGTGAGACAGTCAGAGCCAGATGGGTGAGGGCACAGTCCTGGCTTGTATGAGTGAAGATGTACTGACTGTTCTCTGTGTGTGCGTGTAGGAGAGATAAGTTATGGATCAGTATGGAGTACTGTGGAGGAGGTTCACTGCAGGATATCTATCACGGTGAGAACAACCTGCACCCAAACACACACACACACACACACACACACACACACACACACTTGATGTTAACTGTGGTGTTTTACCTTTTGTCACTCTGTGATATCCATCTCTCTGTTTTCCTTTCCTTTGTCTGCGTCTTGTTTCACTCCTCCAGTAACCGGGCCTTTGTCAGAGTCACAGATAGCCTACATGTCACGGGAGACCCTGCAGGTAACGTTTGCAGTATATTAATTGTCAGTGTAATTATATTTTTGATGAAATTAACAGCCATGTCTTGGGAGATTAAACATCTGCTCAGCTTGAATTTCTTCACTTTCTTTTCCTGTAAAATGATAAAAACATGGACACCAAAATCATTAACAAGCTCAGCTGTTCACTGGCTCTAGAGCTTCATGCTAACAAATTAGCATTGATTCCACTGAGTGAGACTTAGCTACTTGCTGTACATAGTTAAAGTCAGTAGGGCTGCCCGCAAACAGTCGACCAAACGTTAGTCGACCCGAAAGGTTATTAGTTGGCAAAATGCAGGAAAAACAAAAAGTGAAACTCTGTTAGGAGCTGCACCTTCTCAAAATAAATCAAAACCTATATGACTGGACCATGTGGGAATTTAATTTGAAAGGACAGACACAGGAAGTGTCCACGCTCAGCAGTCAGACAGGAGTCAGGTTAATTTCCAGGGCTGGTACCTGCAGTTATTCCACAGGCTAGTTAATAACATGTCGGGCAGGAAATCCAAAGTGTGGGATCATTTTGAGAAGGTGAAGGACGAACCCAAGGTGATATGTAAACTCATCTTCATTGGTCGACTACAAACATGACGTATCATCTGAAACATGGAAGTAGCTACATGCCCATTAGCCCACAGCGTCATTAACAGGCGGCTCGCTCAGTGTGTGACGTGCACTTGTAGATAAAATATAGGCCTATATTAATGAAGGTTCATTAGTACGGTTTTGTATTTCTCTGTAATGTAGCACAGTGTTAACAATGTTACTGATACTATTCTTTCTCACACCTTCAACTCAAACCACCAAAATATATCATTTAATAATTAAGTTGATATCGTAAACGTGCAGGTGATTAGTCGACTAATGAGCCTAAACGACTAGGAGTAGTCTTAGTCGGGGGCAGCCCTAAAAGTCAGAAAACTACCATGAGCGATTAAAGAAATTAGATTTGTATGTTACAGTCCAAAGACCAAAGTGTGCTCTACATGTGCATTTTAAAATTTAGATATCATCCCTTCAAACTGAAACATAAATTAGACATAAACAAATATTGAAACCAAACTGGAACTACTCCCCAAAGCACCACAGCTGCATAAAATTAGAGAGGAAACACTGCAGAGTTTAACATTGTACACTGGAGCCAGTCATCTATCAGAGACACACACGATGTGCCAACTGTAAGTTGAGCCAGTCTCCCAAACATCTGATTTTCATTTAACCAGCAATTGCATATCTAAATATCTTCTCTGACAAATATTTCAAAATTGAGCTGTGTTCTGTTTTTCAGTGCCCTGTTGTCATTTTGATCTCATGACTGCTTATGTTTTTCCTGCAAACGCCTGTAACACCAACTGCTGTGATTCTATTTACAGGGTTTGTACTACCTACACAATAAATGCAAAATGCACAGAGACATCAAGGTGAGTTTGGAGAACACTGTATGAAATATGCATGTCAGCAAAACTTTAAATTATTAAGGCCTTTCCGAGTCACTTCCTGTTTGAATATTGCTAGCGTAGTTCAGCACAATGGCAACACAGACGCCTCAAAAATCACCTCAACATTAATTTAACATGTTGTTAATGAGGAGAAGAGCACACAGTGATGTTGAAATGATAATTGATCTTTAAATTATTGCTGCGACACAGCTTGTGGTGTTTGTGTCGGGGGAATGATTATTGATTCATAGCTACAGGCTGTGTTGATCAATGACAAACCACTTTGCAGCAAACAGCGCTGCTGTGTGCCTCTCAAGTTAATTTGAAATGACCTGAAGTGTGAAACTTGTGTTGGATGCTGATGCGCTGCGTGTTTGTCTCTGACAGGGAGCCAACATCCTCCTGACAGACAATGGCTATGTTAAACTAGGTGAGTGGAACACGCAGAGCTCCTGCAATCACCTTCTGCTTCAGGAGACTGAGTCTGAATGGCCTCATTTGCTGACTTGGTTTCCTTCTCTCTCTCTTCTCCGTCCTCCCCTTCGTACAATCATTTCTGTTCCCACTCTCCCACTTTTTATTTATTTCTTCCTGATCACATTCTCCCTTTCTTCATCCTCCCTTTTCATGTTATTCTCATTTTTTTTCTTATCCCCCCCCTTTTCTCTCTCCATAGCTGACTTTGGTGTATCGGCCCAGATCACAGCAACTCTAGCCAAGAGGAAGTCATTCATCGGAACTCCGTACTGGTTAGTTGCTTGTTTTTCCTCCATCAGCTCCCTTGATATTGCGTATGGATATCCATGCAGGCAGAACAACTGTATAAAAATCCAGCTTCCTGCTGGATGTTAGAGCCCTTTGATCAGTTGGGGAGAATGTGAGAATTCAATAAATCATCTGACGTCAGGTAATATGAGGGAGTTTGCCTAAAGCTACTTCACATTACACAACTTTTAAATCATCAGATTGCTCTACTGTTCACACTGCACAACTCGATGTGTTGTAATCGTGAGTCTTGAAGTCATTGTGGTTTTCACGCAACATGACTAACCAGCGACACAGGGTCACACAGTACAAGCACTGCAAGGCCTTTCACCAGTAGGAATCCTCAATGTCAAGTGGTGCAAGGGTCGGACCACCACTTTGGGCTGGTGGGGGAGTTTCTTACTAGAAAAGCTCAAAGTCAAAAATTGATAAAGCACAGTTCCAAGTAAGTAATTATGCTAGTAACTTACAGAAACATTGCATACAGTGTCAAATATACAGGCTCACACACTTTTCGAAGCACTGCTGCACCACTTGTCTGTGTTCTTAACCCATGTCTTGTGCTCTCATTAGCTGTAGCTTGCTGACAAAGTCCCCAACAGGTCCACATGTTTAGCATTGTAGATATCTGGAGAGCGTCTGCGATGCATCAGTGAGCCCCTCAGCTTGTATCTTTGAACAGTTCACATAGCGCCAGAGCACCGAATTGCGACGCCAAATTCTGTCTAATTGGGGCTTTTGTCTGAGAGCTCCGAAAACTGTCAGTGAGCGGGAAAACAGGGCTAAAATGATACAGTGTGAACCAGGTATAATTGGTCATACAACAGGGATGTACCAGTGTGTTTCCTACATGTTTCATGTATTTATTGCGTTAGCTGACGATTTCTAGGGCAGCTGTAGAAGAATCAGACTCCTTTACAAAACCCTAACAAACCAGGAATGAAAAGCATTTTTGTGTCTCATACTGCAGAAAATTCACATTTGGTCATGTGTGTAGCTGTTAAACCTGATTTGGTACTTTGTAAAAAACAATACAAGACTTTTTACTCCCATTCTTTCAATTTTTCTTGTTTTATTCTTAGTATTTCTCATGCCCTCCTTCTCTCTGTCTCTCCACAGGATGGCTCCAGAGGTAGCAGCAGTGGAGAGGAAAGGAGGTTACAACCAGCTGTGTGATATCTGGGCTGTGGGCATTACTGCAATAGAGCTGGCTGAGCTACAGCCGCCCATGTTTGACCTGCACCCCATGAGGTAGAGGAGTCTGTGTGTGTATGTGTGTATGTGTATGTGTGTGTAATACACAATTGGGTTGTGATAGTGTGATACTAGCAGAGTGGAACTGCAGCTGATGTATTTTTGTGTGCACGTTTTGTCATTAATAACATGGTTATCGTAGATTAGCTGGGCTAACCGCTAGCTGTTAGCTGTTAGCGGTGTCTGTAATAACTCAGTAACTCAATAAATGGTCCATGAAAAAAATACTTTTTCCAGCGGATATCTTAGTTACAACATTGAGCTAGCAAAGCAGTTTTGTGTTGCTATGTGTGGTATTTATTCAGTTTTGGGGAAATCACGATGTCTAGAAAGCATCAGTGGCTGCAGCTGACAGGGACAGCTAACAGCAGCAGCAAAGCTAACATCAGGACGTCATTTGTTAAAAGCCTCCCGTTGTCGGATACGACATGAAACTACTCCAGTTAGCTCAATCATGTTGTAACTAAGACATCCGCTGGGAATTTTTTTTTTTTTCACAGACCGTTTATTGAGTTACTGAGTTATTACAGACACCGCTAACAGCTAACGGTTAGCCCAGCTAATCTACGATAACCATGTTATTAATTACAAAACATGCACACAGAAATAGTAATGTTTGTTCAATCATTGTGTTTATAGACTTTACAAACATCAGATTAGTCTAAACGGTGATACAGTGACGTGAAAAATGTGAGATATATGATATAGCTAAACTCTGCTGATTTTCTTCCCAGAAGTATTTGTAAACAACAAGGCGTTTCCCTCTATAGTATTTTAACATGTCGTATAAAGTAACATGGAATAGGCAGATGTATATGCATCAGTGGTAGCTTTTATCTTATAATCTTGTCATAAACCAGCGTAGTTTGAGGCTCTTACACCATTATGTGTCACTTCTCTGCTGTAAAGACTTAATCTTTGTCTCTCTCCTTTTCTTCAGGGCTCTCTTCTTAATGACCAAGAGTAATTTCCAGCCTCCCAAGTTGAAAGATAAAGTCAAGTGGTAAGAGACCACCCTGTCCATGATATCGTTTTGTCCTCACTATACATCAAGATACATTTACTACAGATGCAACACCATACTCGCTTGTTACCAACCAAAAGATAAACCCGTTTTCTTTTTCTCTCTGTCTTTCCCTCTTTCTTCTGAACGACAGGACAAATAACTTCCACCATTTTGTCAAACTCGCCCTCACCAAGAACCCAAAGAAGAGGCCCACAGCTGAGAAACTGCTGCAGGTGAGCAATGAAACACTAGTCCCTGTAAAGTTACCCATCCCAGCTGTACTGGTATTTATGGATGCACACTACAGATTAAACCATTTCCACAATAAACTATACAAAGCATGAATTACTACAGTGGCTTATTAGATATAAAATATGGGTCATACACACCAGGTGTGTGCTTCTACTGATAAAAACTTTATTGTTTATTACATAAACATAAAGATGTAAACAACAGAAGCCAGTAATAAAATCCACCTGTGATAATATTTAATTACAGGGTGTTGGCTGTTAAATACATTCTCACTAAAGCCACAGTGATTAGTCATCGATTAATAGGCCGGTCAATAGATGGTAATTTACTGAATGAAAGCTCTGATAAGCAGCCAGTCAGCAAAACACCAAACATCTGTCACAGCCTGTCAGACTAGAACACGTTCATACCTTTGTGTTTAAATATTGGTCAGACTGAGTGTGAACACATGAATAATGAAGTCTCCCTCTTGGCTTTCTTCCAGCACCCTTTTGTGTCGCAGCCTCTCAGCAGGACGCTGGCGATAGAACTGCTGGACAAAGCCAACAACCCCGACCACAGCACCTTCAATGACTTTGACGATGATGACCCTGAGCCAGAGGTAACCTTTGACCTTCTCAGGTTTTGCTTTTCAGACGTGTCATGAAGCTTGCAGACGGGTTAGCAGAGTAGTGATTATGTTTTTGCTGGATCTCGCTCCTTTTCCTTCCCTTCAAATGGTGCCCTTCTCTCTCCTCATTTGTTCCTTAAATTCCTCCCCCATCAACCGCAATTCACCCTCCACAACCTCAGTCCCTCTTTTCCCCGGCACATGTGACTCATCTTTCTGCTCTTTGTCCTTCTCCCTCTTTCCCTTCCTCGCCTCCTCTGTGCTCTGTTTGCTCTCCTTGGCTTTTATCTTCTCTTTTCGTCTGCTCTTCTTCCTCTTTCCTCTTCTCTTCCTCCTTGTAGCACTTCTCCTTTCTCTCTACCTTTCTCTTCTTCTTTCCCCTTTCCCTTTTCTCTGCTATCTTTCTGTCTCCATCCCCCACCCTCTACCTCCTCCTCAGTTTAAGTACAGGGGTCATTTCCTACCCATAAGCCCCGGTGCTCGACGTGCACCCCGTTTTGCGGCCCGTAGGAAGGTACCAGTTTGGGCTGCGGTGTCTGCAGTGATGTCATTCTAACACAAACGATACTGTCATTTGTTTTTTCACTTGGAGGACGACCACAGAACTGAACGAACAGATTTCCATTCTCTTCAGTGTCTCCTGCTGCTGTCATGGAAACTGGCGTCGGCATGCGACTTATCAGACCCTTGATGGATTACTGTGGCAGTTGTATAATTAGTTCACCATGTCAGTGAGCACTTGTGTTTAATGTCACTGATTTTCTGTTTACATGCATTTTTTAAATATAATTATACAGTTAAAACTATATAGTTTTATAATCACAGTTTTCATAGTTTTAAAACATTTAATTTACTTATACGTGGATGCATTTTTGGCCTGTTGAAGAACGCTGCCATTGTTTTATGGCTGTTGTAGTGTTTTTTTTGTTGTTGCTAGTTTTCACTTTGGGAAATACACTTATTCACTTTCTCGTCAAGAGCCAGACGAGATGATTGATACCACTCTCATGTATATGGGGGAAACAGTCAGACTCTGTCCAAAGGGAACAAGATCTGCCTTATAGCGCCTCTAAAGCTCACTAACTAACGCAACATTTTTCATCTGTATAAAACCAAATGTGTCAAAACAACCAATTTTGTTCTCTTTGGACAGAGCGAGGCTAGCTGTTTCCGGCCTCTATCCAATGCTAAGCCAACCACCTGCTGGCTATAGACCGAATCATGTTTGTTGACAGAAACTTCCAGATCACATCACGTACATAAAATGAAATGGTGCTGAGCAAATGCTGCCTCAGTGAGTTTGTTTTTAGGCACCTAAAAAAGGCCCACTTAAAACAATCAGTATCACTTTAAATGTACGCTATATTTAGAATATTTTCACCGCTTTATCTTGCCATCGATCAGCTCTTTCTAAAAGGGAACTGAAGCTGTTATCTCAAAGACACATTGACGAAAACAGTCATTTTACTAAGCAGAATATGAGAGTTGCTGATCTACTCCTGCCTTGATTGGTTTAAGCTGTAAGGTAATGTGGAGAAAATATTCTAAATATAGCGCACATTTAAACTAATATAGATTTCTTTTTCCTTGTGAGCATTTTTAGGTGGCTGAAATATGTTTTTGTGCAGCCCCATGTCCACAGCAGTACATTGCTTAGCTTCCGGGCTGGTAGACTTAGGACGCATTTACACTGCCACTATGTAGTCCACTTTAAACAAACCCTGGTCTGCTTCCACGGATAGTTCAGTTCGTTTGGAGTGGTGTGAATGCTCATTCGAACTCTGGTGTGGACCAAACGAGCGAACCCTGGTCCGCTTGAAAACTGGGGGTCTCGGTTCACTTGCCAGTGAGCCCTGGTGCAGTTTGCCTACAGTGGGAAATGCAAACAGACTATCCAGCAAACCAAAGAGAGGAAGTGACATAGAACGCAGTGCATTTTGGGTAGAAAAAAACAAAGCCAACAGTGCAAACCGGGGGAAGCAGAGGTTAAAAAAGAAAAAGTTGGAAAATGTCTCGTGGGCAGACGTGGATTAGTGAGGAGGTGCAGGCGCTTATTGATATATGGTTAAAGGACTATATATCGCAGTTTCTTGTGGCTACCCATAATGGATTTCCGTTTTCGGTCCTGGCCAGTCGATGAGCCGCGTTTTCTTCTTCCTCATGCTTTTTTTCTTCCTGGTCAGTGGTCGTTTAGAGCAATACCGCCCCCAAATGAGCAGCTGTTGTAACTGCGTGGTGTTGTCCAGGCGGTTTGGTTCGATTGTAAGTGCAGTGTGAAAGTGAACCGAAACAAATGAAGGTATGAAATTTTTCGGCATTCCCTGCCCAATCAAAAATGATTCCCCCAGACTATCCTGGTGTGAATGTGCCCTTAGTTTATCAAAGATCGTAGCAAAGCAACACAGTACATGAAAGAACACCAGGTATGTCTGACCATCATGTTTTAACACTGTATCTTTAAATGTTAATGTTACAGCTGAAAATGACAACAAAAATTACAAACACGTACCTCTGCAATTCAAGTCAGTTGCCAGTTGCCCACCTGGAAGTGATTTTTATTGTTAGTGGGACGTTCAGTAATTTGGTCTATAGCTTCATATTTACCATACATACGAGAGTGGTCTCAATCTTCCCGTCTAACTCTCGCAAGACAGTGAATAAACAATATTTCCCAATATTTCAAATTATTCCTTTATTTCACCTATATGGCTGTAAGAAATATGATAGTTTTGTAGTGACGCACACTGACCACACTAAAAAATAACCCATGCCCACTTCCATGACAACATTACTGCCATCTTGGCTGAACCATAGGAGATCACTGAACATCAGCTCTTTTCATTGTAGTTCTGTGGCCGCGGCCGGCTGATAAAGCAATGGCTCGGTTCATGAAGATGGCTACCAAAACATGACATCATCACGCTCCTTAGCATAATGCATCCAGACCACATCCAGATTAGGTTGTATTTGCTACAAATAGTTGTATTTCAACAAATAGTGTTGAAGGAGAGAAATTACACACACATCAAGTAGCTGTAGGAAGTAGAAAACAGTGTAAATGAAGAAAAAACACCTGCACGCTAACTCCATGCCACAGAAGTTGGAGAAAGACAATATTTCAATAACACTTGGATGGTGTAAGTGTGTAGGCATTAGCTTTTCTTCAAACAAACAGTGTTGACATTGTGGTTTGATAGTTACCTAGTAGCTGAAGGAACTTTTACTTTAGGGAAAATATTTGAACATCTGTGAAAGTGAAAGTAAATTTTCCTGTCTGTTGCTCTGAGCATCTTAAAATAGACAGTAAGCATTGTTTTACCCAGCTCTGATTAAAAGATCAAAACTCATCTCTAGATTTGGCAGTTTGGAAACACAGGATACAGGATGCATTTTGCAAAGGGTGGGGAGTTCTCACATATGTTACTTATGGCAGCCATCTTCATCTTCCTTTGCCATTACAGTTACTAACCATGAGTTCTGTGTTATGGTGATGATTACACCAATAAACGGTGGTTTTAAAGTGACTGGTCTGTTTTGGATGTGGTTTTGATTGATGCGTTTTTGTCTTGGTTTGTTTTTTGCCAGTGCGTTACAAGCATGGTTTGAGGTTGCTGTGGTTCTTAGCTTGCCTACAAAGATAAGTTTACATCGTAAGATTAAATACGAGAGACATGAAGTCAAGGAGAATTTGGGAATACTGTATCATTGTGCAGGCTGCTATGGATTCATTCGTGAATGACCAGTTTGTACGCACACAGTAGCCATGAAATACCAGAGAGGACACCAGCTACTAGCATCACATACAGTAGTTGACTCAATACATTTTAATGGACACGACATTGGTTACAGTGCAGATTATTAGCTAGTGTGCAGTGCCAAGACTGTCGGGGTCAGCTGTTTGCCACATGGGTCACCTACATTAAAACGTATGTCATCAAAGTAAGTATGGACATCCTCTGACATCCTCTAGCATTTATATAAAGAGGCTATGTGACCTTACAGGGACTCGTGAGGACAGATTTAAGGGGAAACATTGATGTCGTTGTCAGGGAAGGTTTGTGTTTCCCGTCGACTGTGTTGCTATGATTTGGTTGTCTGGTTGCAGAGTGCGGCTGGCTGTTTTGCTGTGTCATCAAATCCCACCCACAGGAAATAGCAGAAGGATTTTTTTTTTAAGACCTATTGTAATCTTCTCAAGGACTGTGTAAACTACTACACTGTGTATGTTCTTTGAGCAGCGTTTTGACTCTGTGTGTGTGTGTGTGCCCTCTCTTTCCTGATAGTCTCCGGTCTCTGTTCCTCATCGTATTCGTTCCACCAGCAGGAGCGCCAGGGAGGGAAAGACGCTGTCGGAGATTAACTGTGAGTTCATACACAAGGTCGAAGTGAACAAAACAGAAGCCACCAGCACTCCCTAACTGTTTGTGTGCACAGTATTCTACAATCTCATGCCTTTGCCTCTGTGTTTTCTCTCTTTGACCTCCTCCTTTCTCTCTCTGACGTTTTCTTTCTCAGTTGGTCAGGTGAAGTTTGATCCTCCCTTGAGAAAGGAGACGGAGCCTCATCATGAGCCGGTGAGTTGTTAGCCGTGGCATATGTTTGAATGAGTGTGTGTGAGGGAGTGAGAGTATGTTTGTGTCACTTCACCAGTATCAGCATGGCTGATCCTCACCAGCTCACAGGAAGCACCCCGACCAATCCATGTTGTTGTCAGTCTGTGTGGAACCAAAACGAATGAAGCCCATCCACATAGTTCACATGGTAGCTTGAAAGCTGAGGCATTTTAAATAGGGTTGTCCCGATCTATGCCAGCCACTGAGTGTCTGGCCTCACTTTTCGGGTCAGGGTTAGGACCTTAGATGCCCAGATGGAGGTCAGAGTAGAAGGAAGCACTGCTCCTTGGCGCTGCAGTACTCAAGCTGAGTGCTACAGGCGTCTGATCAGGATGCCTTTCTTTGGGGAAATTCTGGGCATGTTGAAATTGGAAGAGACCCTTGGATGGAACCAGAGTATACTGGAGGGATAATGTGTCCCACCTGGCCTGGATTGCCTCGTGATCCCTCTGTGAATGCTGGACAACATGGCTGCAGAGAGAGAACATCTGCTGCCTGCCACCATGACTCAGACCTGGATACGCAGCACACAGTGGACGTATGGATGTATTTGCATCAAGGAGTATCTGTCTCCCTTTTGTCTTTGGCACGGTGGTGACACTGACTGACAGCCAGGCAGCAGCCTTCGACACAGACACTAGAACTGTGAAGCACTGCAGAGATTAGCTTTCTTACAATAGTGCTTCCTGATTTTCATGGATGGATGGACACATATCTACCAGCTTAGACAGAACTGTAGGGGCTGGTGTGTCTGTGCATACTGTTAGCGTGAAAATGGTTAATTTAAATAGGCTGGATTTTGGCATTATTGTTAGCACTGACCTTGATAACATGTGTATTGTTTGAGCTGTGGCTGCTGTGTGCTAAGTTGATTTTTCTAGAAACTGGCCCTGCTATTGCCCATCACTTTAAGGCCCAATCCCATTTTGTGTTTTTGAGTTTCCCTTTGTCCCTCAGAACAGAGTGACAGGGGGTAGTGGTTGAAATCTTACCCTATGAAATGGGACAATCCTTCAAGATCCTGATACGTCATCGTCATCGATGGTGTTTAGGTAAAGAGATGCGACCAAGGCAATGATGATATGATCACAATGACATTTACCATTTATCTGATTGGGATAGAAAAGCATGGATACTTGCTATTTGTTCACAACTTGAGTTTTACACTATCAGTCAAACAAGTCTTCAAATAAATGAGATTACCGCTTTATTGCCAAACCATTAGCAGTGCTCTGTAGGCGTACATTAGCAACCCATGCTCCTACGTACCCTGCCAGTCTGTACTTACCTAATATCACTTAGCAGAGGAGTGGTAACAAGTTCAGCAACTTCGCTGGTGGGCCTGACTTTATTTGGGCGTCAAGGCAGAGGAATGCAACATGGAAATGTGTCAAATTGTGGGACTGTCATATATGAATCAGCAGCAACAAATTTAAGGTCAGGTACCTCATTAGTTTCAGAGACATCAGCATACTACTACCATTTTTGTTGTTGTTAAGCTTGTTAGAAATAAAAGGACCATAGGAAATTGAAATGACAAACTAAAATTCGATGGAAATTTTTAAATCTTCAAATCGATATCCAATCGAAGAAAATACATTTTTGAATTTCTTTTATTGCTTGTGCAGCCATCTTGCCAGGAATTTCTCGTAACACTCGGTTTGGGGTTTGCCTCTGAAAAATCTCTGTTCGTAGGACCATGTAGCTGTTACACTTTGCCGAGCCCCTCTGTCCCAAAAAGAATTAGGACACCCTACACCTAAGTGTGAGACATAGATTGTGTATTAAAGATGGATGACATGACAGCTCCTCAAAAGTGAAGCCAGAACATCTCAATTGCAGGTCATAAACCCTGTCCCCTCCAGGTTAGCGGATAGATCATGTGCCGAACTTAAAGATCAAAGTACATATCAAATTACTTTCTTCCCCAAAAATGGTGTCTGTCATTTTAGGCAGCTCTTATCACGTTATGTTCAAGTGTTCGGCTTTCTTTAAAGTTTGGTTCAATAATTTATTTGATGCTATAAAAAGAGGGTTTGAAATCGTGATTGACAGCTGTGTGTGCCAATCGGTGCGTTCGTGATCAGTGGGGCTGCTCATGATTGGTCGGATGGTTGCATAGGTGGGAACTCAATACCACTGAGATTGCTACTGAGCAGACTCTCTAGTGCAAAATGGCAGCAGCTGTAACCGGGATGTTTTGGTTTTATTTTGTACAGTGCGATTAAGTAGAGACGCCTCACCATCTTTATATACAGACTATGGCGTGGGGCAAGAAGGGGCACGGGCTAGGTGGTAGGGGTAAGGGCTGTATTGGGATGAAGCCGTAGAACTGCTGAATGAAGTGTTTGCTTGTGGACCAATGGGATGGTGCAGGGTTCACACACAGTCACAGTGTCTTGTTGAAGTCTTTTGCTCCCTCACTCCCTCCCACTTTTCCTGTCCTTCCTTTGCAACTTGCACTTTTTCCACGAACTCCCTTTTATATTCCGCCTCCCTTTAAAGTGAGAAAATCGATCATAAAATAATCATTCTTTCCTCTCTCTCTCCGTCTATTTGTCCATTAGCTTGGACTCATGTCAGGAAACATAGTCACCAGTGTAGGTCTTTACAACATTCATATACGTTCACATCTTCGTCCTTCAGTTCCTCCCCTCTCATTGAAAGCAATATAATAACGTGGGATCTCTCTCTGTCGTGCTGACCACTGTGATTTTTAGCTCTCCAACATCCATTCATTCAGGAATATGGTGCTATGTGTAGCATTGTAAAATCAATAAATCATTACCACATTTTAATATAATATTAATAACATGATTACTGATTAGCAGCAGCATTTTGTGGCATCGTCGCTCAAAGGAGACTCTGGCAAACGCAGATGGGGCAAGGACTCCATGGCTGGAGTAGATTTCAGCATGTTTAACCTCTGTGTCATACTAAACAAAAAAACAAACACACCCATAGCAACACTCTGGAACCTGGATTAAGGTAACATATGGTCTTAATTCAAAGAAATACCAACAAGAAAACCACTGGAATAAGACGGAGGCTACTAATTGTTTCATTTGTTCACTGAAGGAGGCAACAAAAAGCTATCAGTATTTATTTTGTATTTTTTAAGCTTCATGTAGCATGTTTGTATGATATATTAATGTCTTAATTTATGGTTGATGCTACAGTGGATGGTCCTGAGGAATGGGGGAGGGGTGTGTTACGAGTAGCAGCTGCATGAAATGCCCGGAAAAAAATGACCACAGCTCCACATCCAGGGGCATGTGGACGCTGGAGGGAGGCCGACAGAGGGCTGATAGCCATGTGCACAAACCCTGCTGACCTCCATCCCGCCTTCTGGTTCTCTGGCGGAGGAGCAGAGCACAGCCTGGGTCAGTGGGGCTGGCTGGAGGCTGCTGAGGGGCGGTACGATAAATTCAGGCGGCTGAGAGTCAAACCAGGGCTCGTGGAACATGCTGGAGGCTTTACCGAGGCTGGAGAGGCAGTCATGGCAGATGAGAGGAGCGCCAGAGCCCGGAGAGCATATTGGAGAACCAGAGGGAGGGCGAGAGGTCTGTGGGGTTCGTGCCTGTGGCCCAATGCCTGCTGTCGGCTGTCCTCCAGTGTCCACACACCCCTGGATGTGGAGCCTCCAGCATGCTCTGCAGGCCCTGGATCTCCTCTCAGCCACTGTGACTGCTTTTCAGCCCGCTAAAATATGTTTTTTGACAAATTAAACTATCCACAATGATGGCAGCAACTTCTGCGCTGCCTTGCCCTATCATGGACAATTGATGACGTAACAACCAATCACAGCAGGGCAAACAGATGAGCATCTGTCCCCCATCCCTCCGGACCATCCACTCTAGCACCAACCTCCATTAATGTCTCTCCTCCTCAGTTTTGCTGATTATTAACACCCATCTCCACCAGTTTACTCCCTCCCTCCCTCCCTCAAGTTATACCCCGATTCATCCCCTTCTTCTCCTCAGATTAATATTACATTATCTCCCTCCTTCTCTGTCTTGCTGACCCACGGACTTCAGAGCCCATTTTGGCCTTAATCCATTTTTCATCCATCATCCTCTCTCTTGCATCCGTGTCTCCGCCCCTCCCCGTTCCCTCCATCAGTCCAGGTTAATGTATTAACTGAGGTCTCTCTCGCTCTGTCTTGCTGACCAGTGTGAATCTGAGCCCTATCTGGACTGTGTTGAGGAGCTCTACTATACCGCGAGATCTAATCTGGTAGTACTCCTTCTATCTGTCTCTCTCTCTCTTTCGGCCTCTCCCTCTGTCAACCTACAGCACATTGGCCTTTTTTATATATCTAATCTGTCTTCATTTCTTTAACCTTTTGCCTTATTTTTTTTATACCACCCTCTTAACTCTCTCCATATTTCGCTTTGATTTTTAATCCGTTCCTGAAGGACAAGTCCTTGTCCTTCCTTTTGGCTTTCTTGCTTTCTGGGCCCTCGCTGTCTCTTTTATTTATTTATTTATTTATTTATTTATTTATTTTCCAGAGTGCTGGCTGTTTTGGCTGCTCCATGTCCAACATGTATTTTTGTTCACTTTCACAGTTTTGTTCCATCTATTCTGGTCCGTCCATCTGTTACTGCTCATTTTGTTCTTCTTGTTCCAGCCTTGGCTTTTGCCTCACTAACTGGTGTTGTGGTTGTCATGGTGATAAGGGTCCTCTGTGATGTTGTTGTTCTTTTCGTTGTTTTCAGACATGTGTACAATACACACACACACACACACTCAAACATTGCAGTCAGTCAAATCAAAATTTGTGTCCGATAGAACGCACACACAAACAGACGAAGGTCAGACTATGTTACAGTGCTGCACCTCTGAAGGGTGGTAGTGATGCAGCGCCCTGCTCAAGGCCACTTGGGTTTGGACACAGGCATTCCTGCTCACAAAAGATAATCCCTTTTACACTAAAATCCATAAACATACACACATGACCTTTAATGTTTAATGCTGTATTGTACCTAATATTCGTTTCTCTCTGCAGAATGTGTGTCTCTCTTCTGTACTACTGCTTAAGTGTTCTCTAACCTCTTGAGTCCTGTAGTTGACCAGAGCAGTGAGGCCTCTTTCATGTGTGTGTGCGTCTGTATGATGTCTGTCTGTTAGTCTGCAGTATGTGTGTTTCCCTCTGCATGCTTGTTGTATTATGTCATTATCTTTAGAAATGTTGTGACACAATGCTGCATTCACATTGTGGCTTCATAGAAGAGATGTGAATCCAAGGTTTCAGTCGTTTCAGTCGGAGAATGGCGCGAAACTCAGCCAGTGTACCTGGTTTAAAAGGTGCAGGAACATAAAACTATATGAAGAGTGAATCTTCAATGCGTGTAGAAGACACATCGACATACCTGACTTCACAGTGAAGATTCATTGCATAGAATCTTCAAGCAATAAACTGGGAGCCACTTTAACAGTGGTTTCCAATGACTCCAGTGGTCGGAATCCTCCCTATGGGGTCCCGAAATCTATTAGGGGTCCAGTGAACGGCAATTATCCAAGCATGGTAGCGACAGTAACTCAGTATTGCAGGGCTGTCAGGCTCTGGATATCTCCATTTGCCAAAGACAGATACTCACGGGCGAATTGACAAAAGGATTGTGCGGCTTTTGCATTCGCTAAACCTTCACAAATAAGACAAAGCACGTGCAAAGGGTGAAATGCACTCCTAACTGCGCTGCCAAGCAAAAACAGAGTGCTCCTTTGCTATTTGCACATATTTAAATCAGGTACATACATATATTTGGCGCAAAATTGGCACCTTTCTATGCAAATTAGCTTCATTGCAGTTCCACTTCACAAAGGTCAGCGCTAATAGCCACAGGCAGTGACAGTGGAATTATTTGTATCTTCAGAGAGTTGGTGATAACTGGAGCGCATTTATAAGGGGTGTCACACCCAGACTTTCCAGTGATCATGGCAGCCAGCGTTCAGCACTTGTAGCTTGCAGTCTGAAAATTTCAGTTGTCTTTCTCTCTGCGATTATTTGACCTCCTGAGTTCTTGGCGCAAAGGCAACATGCATGTTCCGCCACAGGTGCAGGAAGGGCAAATTGCACTCTGTGGGCATGTTTGTGCTGTAATATCATTAGTGCAGTATTTTTTTGTGAATCAGATTTTGAGATGGGGCAGATAGTGGTTTCCAGGTGATGTGCAATTCATGGTGCTCTCAGCGGCTGCAATCCATTGTGAATTTACCTGTCAGTATTTATTTATTTATTAAGAGTTTGTAAGGTAATGTCTTTTTTTTAAGTGGCTCTCCAAAACCAAAACACATGAGTGTTCATCTGCTCTAACACACCTCCAAGATGTGACCGTTAGCATGGCTGGCGAATTATTTAATGGAGTGCTTCTTTCAAGAAATAATGAGCACATCAACAAACTAGGTTACATTAATTTGTGGAGTTACAGGTTACATTAAAAAAGCCCTTGTCATTTCCCAATTAGATTTTAGGCTATCTTTATTAGCTAGCTATAAAATGTGCTAGCTATAGCTGAAATTCCAGCTGGAATTTTGTAATGTTTTCTTTCTCAAGCTTTTTCTGAATTTTTGATTTTTTTTTTTTTTCTTGTGACATACTGGATACTTTTGGTGCCCAAAAATGAGTCCACATACTGTAGATGCCATGACTTGTGATGACAGGTCATGAGACGTTTCCTCCTTTTACCACAGGACAAAAAGGTCGAGGAAAAGCGGGTTAAGAACCAATTTTTGTGTCATACAAACTGAGCAGATATGTAAAAATTAAAAAACAAAAACAGCAGGGTGACTGCAGGTCTCTATGTGTGTCAACCTGCTATCCTTGTTGCTCTTTCTAATAACGACAAAGAAAGAGTTCATTGGTTGCTTCCCTCTAATTTTGTTTTGGCTAAATTAATCTGTTACCCACCTTGCAACTGAAATTCCATTTCAGGTTTTTTTTTAATTGTATCTGCAAATCCGTCAAACATCTTCTTTATCAGAACAATGAAGACAAATGAGAATTGCTGCCGTGGCTCACATCTTGTTAATAATATATAGATTTTTTTAGGCCACAATGTGAACTCAGCAAGAGTCAAATCTATGCACTTAGTTAGCCATATGCTCACTGTGTACATCTGTGTATCTATTAAACTTAAATTATTATATCTAGCAGTCTAGTAGCCCTGCAATACTTTAACTCCTGAACAGGGCTTCAGTTGTAGTCACTATTTCAGTCAGTGTGGTTTATTGTGGCACTTGAGAAATCAAATACAGTAGCACATTTTAAATGAAGCAGTTCTGAAGTGTTATGTCACAGTATTAATGTCAGTTGTTTGTCTTGTAGGACTTGCAGCTGGAGTATGGACACGATTCACCAAGTCTGCTGGGAGGAAACAAGTGAGTCATTTGCTTTCCTTTTTTTTGGTGATGTTTATCTCTTTCTGTTCTTGCACCTCCGTCTCTTTATCTCTGCTACCTCTTCTTCTTTCATCTGCAGTTGCAGTTAGTCCACAGCCTTTAGGGGAGGTTGACTAACAGGGAGAGCCAGGATGTGAGATAGGGCAGGTTTTCTGTCGGCTGTAGGTTTGATGATTTATTCATAATTGCAGCTGGAGGATGTTCTGTAAGCTGTGTGTGTTTGTGTGCTTTCAAGTGTGCTTTGTAAGCAGAAAGCTCAGGTTCAGATCAGGGTAAAGTGTTCCTCAAGCATGTAGATTTAGTTCTCTCATTTATCTCCATCATATTCTCTCATTTGTACTTTTCTCTTCGCTCGTCTGACAAACAGGAGTCTTCTCAAATCTGTGGAGGAGGAACTACAGCAGAGGTAAGTCAGACCCCTCTCATATCCTGATCCACTCAGGACCTCTTGATTTGCCGTTTTTCTAACCACGCCCACCCATCAGCCAATCATTGTTAATGGCAGGACTAATCGGGCCAATCACACGCAACTAACGCTGTTGTTAATGACTCCAGGCTGTCACTGCTCTGAGCATTTTGGATTCCTCTGGGTTTTATTTTCCCTCTGCGGCTTGCTTCACGCTTTGATGTCATCAGGAGACGGCTGTGCTTCATAGGGGCTTCCTGCAGAGCATGGCTCACTCACACACACACACACACACACACACGCACTCACACTCTCATGTGTGCGCTCACACACACACACACATGCGCACGTACAGTATATACAGTGCAGTCAAAGCTGCAGTGGGTGTCTAGCAATGTTAATGGCCAGTCTCTGGAGTCCAGTCTGTTTTCTCTTGCCCTAAAGATAATTATAATCACAGTGCTTTGCTATTTTCTATGAGACAATCTGATGCGACCAATGCGCTGCAAATCCTCATGTTGTGAAAAGGTCTGCTGAATTAATGTTTTATATATAACCTAGATATGTTGAATTAACAGAGTTCTGAAAGACTGTTTGGCCACACACTTAAAATGTAGTATCTTTAGTTTGAGTTGCTCACAGTTTTGTCTCCTTTAGTGGACAGAGGTAGTCGTAGAGTTGACAACAGTGATCTTGTTTCAGTCTTTGAGGTTATAGCTTCATTACAGCTCCTGTCACTAGTTAACAGACCTGGGTAAAATGCAGTTTATGGTTTATTTTAGTGAATAGAAGAGTCAGTTTGACCAAGGATTTCTCTAGTTTCTGGTTTTATCACAGCAGATTTTTAAATCTACTTCCTGTATCTAAATACATGAAAAGGGTTAGTGTTATGTATGTGGCTTGGAGTTGGTTCTAGCTGGATGGCATAAATGTATTCCAACATAAACAGCCCTTGTTATTACTGTAAATTCTCAAATAAAACCAGTATTCTAATACTGGCATGGTCTCCAAAAATAGCACAAACAAATAAAAGGCTAGTCTTTAATTAAGTCCCCAGGTAAAAATCTTCCAGAAGGAGCAAAATGACCTGTTGTGTCATGGATCTCATTGTCAAGATTCTCTTTTTACAGTAATGCTGTTTTTATTTGCTAATTGATTTCAATTACTTCCACTTTGTTGAGGGAGAATAATCATATACACATCTTGTAGGTGCGAGGCTATCCACAGATAGCGCCTACACACTCTATGCCACAAAGGTTTTAATCAAGACAACAGAAAAAATGGTCAGAGGTCAAAAAGTTTGGACCTTACAAAGATCCGAGTAGGATCAAAATGTCTCCATTACACTTTTGTGGCGTGGAGTAAGTGTGCAGGCATTACTTTTTTCCTTCATTGACTTCTACTTTGCCATTCTTTAGATCAAGTTAAAGCTACTTTCTGTGAAACACAACACTTCCTGTGCAGATGTTTCAAATTAAAAACCTTCCAGTGGCTCAGAAAGCCAAGACTTTTAATTTTAAACATCGACAGGAAGTGTTGAAATAAATGGCAAAGTAGACGCAGTGGCACTATCAGTATTTCGATTTGGTTTAATTTCAAACTCAAATCTAAAACAGGGAGATGTCTCACTAACCCATGTTAAAATATTCTCAAACAGAAAATCAGTATATCCCTGTTTCCACCAAACACTTTCAGTATGATACCTTTGGAACCAACAGTAACCCTTCAGACATGGTACCCTAGAGTTTCCACCACAAACAGTACCCTTAAATGTGGGCGGGGTTGTTGTCACCCACTGCTCCGTCCAGCACTCACTGTATTTCCTCCTTTATCAGTCTGCAGCTTGTTTATCGTCCACAGAACGAGGCTGCATGCAGACGTTTTCAGAACAAAATAAAACGGGCTGCAGTGAGAGTCTCTCTCCATGGGATATTAAAAATAGCAGCTTTGTACATTTAGTCCTTCTCAGGCAAGCTCAGGGGTTTAGTGTTGCTGGAGCCCACAGGAACGACGCTCCACAACGTTTTTTTTTTTGTCTGAATGAGGATTGGAACAGTGGTTACATGAGCCTCAAAACCAGCCACAACTCAGCCCAGAGCAGAGTGACCGTCCTCTACTGACCAATAAGACTGCAGTGTTCACAGCTCCACCTTTTAGTACCAGATCTGTGTGCTAGGTACCCCAACAGAGGTGGGACCAAACATGGGGACGGTACGGAACAGTTCCATTGGTACCATCCACAACTTTTAACTGTGGAAACGGAAAAAAAAGTGTACTGAACTGAACTCTATTGTACTGTTCTGCTCGGTGGAAACAGGGCTCATGTCTCTGATGTGAACCAGTTTGAAATAATGAGCTAAATAAATATTTGAGAATTTACAGGATATAAATTGTGTTTAGGTTCCTGTGAATTAACTGAGAGAACCCCTAGAGTTAAAGTCTACTGTGTAGGACGTTGTGTAGATCTGTAAGGACTGTATAGATTTGAACAGTACAGGTGAGTGTCAGCAGCATGTTGTTGCCATGTTGTTCAGGTAGGAATGATTGGACATGTAGTGATCTAATGATTTGTCAGCAGATTGGGAGTCTTCTTTTGTGTTTGGATCTGTTCAGTCCTTTCAGATCTGCCCAGGGTTCAAGGGTTAGAGGTAGTTTGTGGACCAAGCTTCACTCAGATCTCCCTCCCCTCTCCCTCCTTCCTCTATCCTGTCTTGCCTCTTCCTCCTCCTGTTGTCATCTCCTACCTCCTTTGCTTGCTCCCTTAATCTCCCTCCCTCCTTTACCCTCCCTGCCTCAACTTTCTATTTCTACTCTCTTCCTCCCCTTCTCCCACCCGTCCCTTCTCCTTTCTTACCTCCTCCCCTCCTTATCTTCACCTCCTCTCCCAGGGGCCATGTGGCACACTTAGGGGATGATGATGATGAGGATGATGATGGTGCAGATGATGATGAAACTCACACTCAGTAAGTTCTCTCCCAGTCTTAGAAGCCCGGAAGCCTCTCCCTCCCTGTCTTGGTCTTTCCCCATTCCTCTGTCTTTTCCTAGAGGAAAGGATGAGGAAGAGGAGTAAGACAAGGCAGAAGGCTTCCTGTCTTTGCCACAGTTTCATCAACGTATTTCTATGCAGCACACCCCGCCATCACGCCACATATGCCACCTGTGTTTGTGTGTGTTTACAGCCTGTTTTCTTTGCCATTGTTGCTGTCTTTGTGAAGTGTACTAGCTACTAACAGTAACCCTAACCCCCAAACTCACCTGACGGCAGATAACAGAGAAAGTTTGGTGTTCATCTTTCCGTTATTTCAACGTTTTACCTTCGTAAATATGCAGGGACAGCGGAAAACTTCTGCTTTGTGTAGGGCTAAACACCACAGCATCAAAAAGGATATTGTAGCTACATGTTAACTGAGCTATATGTGAAATTCTGGAACATCGTATCTCAAATTTGCACCGAAACCTTAGCTGTTATTCGATGCTTCAAATATGAGGTCTTGGTTTAGTTTCAGTGCTCAGATGACTGGTCCTCATGGCCTTGTCTTTCTGTCTGTTATCTTGTTTTGTTCTCCACTTGCATCGCCATCTGTGTGCCTCCTTGCTGTGTGTGTGTACGCAAACGTGTGCGTGTGCATTCACGCTGTTCTCTCCTGCCTCTATAAAACTGTATATCTGGCGTCCGGCCTCATCCCTCATTGTGTAAGAGCCAAATGTCTGCAGCGGACTAGAGCGTTCCTTCAAGACATATATTTTCCACTGCAGTCAGAAAGGCCTCAGTACTTAGCACAAACACACACACAGAGTACAATGAATACAAAAATAGAAAGGACCCGAATTCCTAAATGGGCTGCGATCAATAGCAGTGTAAAGTGGAATCAGAGCAGCATTTCCTGGCTGGAAGCATCTTGAATAAGCTCATGTTTTAAGGCTCAAATCACTTCTGACATCACTAAATGAACCACTGGAGGTTTAAACCTACACTTTGAAATTTCCAGTATCAGGCCCTGATCACGCAGAAAGCGTTTTGCAGGTTGCAAAGATGAAGTTTTTTCAACTCGAGGCGTTCAGAGCACTCCGGCAAAAACTCCAAATGTGTCGCAGCTCAAAAAAACACGAGCAAAACGCTGCTAAAACACGTCCTGTGTGATCAGGGCTTTAGTCTGTCTCCAGGAAAACAGTCGTGGAACGAGTTTCTAGGATCAGTCAACCGTGTTACAACTCACCTGCTTTGTTTTGAGATGCGTCTTTGCCATCTTCCCCAGTTTCTGCACCCATGGGTGTTTTCTTCAGCTCCCTTACACGCTCTCCTGAAGGAGGCTCTTTGCCATTTGCCACCCACCACCCACCAATCACCACCATGCCATATTTTCCAACATGCCAACACAGTGTTTGCATTCTACCCTGAACATGCTCAGTCACAGACATGGATGTGTAAACTGTGTCAGCTACTGATCAGGCTTTACTGATACAGTTTACATTATATAATATAAGTCATATTTCTGTTGACTACCGTTCAACTGATTCACTGACTTTGTTTACATGCACACTCTTTTGAGAATGTTGAATATAATAATAATAATAATAATAATAATTTGAATGATCCCTTTAGCATTTTCTGATTGAGACTAAAAAGTGTGCATGTAAACACTTAAGTCACTGCAATTCACTGTCATTGGTGTTCCTGTATTTGTGCTCACTGTGATTGGCCCTCAGCCTTCTCTGTTTTGATTTGTGTGCTCTGATTGGTTCTTTATCTGTCAGTCATTAACACGTAGCTCAATTTATCTTTATATATCTTAAAGGCAAAATGGATAAAGTCTCTGCAGATACAGTGCTGCTCTGTAGTCAAAATTATCATTCTCTTTAACAAAGCATAATTTATAGAAACTAAATTTGAAGTATTTCCAACAGAGAGTTATGTAGCACTTTCAGCACCACTGGCTGTAAACCTTTAGTGTTTCAAAGTCAGCACTGTTGTTCTCAGAGACTTTACACATGCTGCATCTGTAGTTGTTCTTAATTATCTCTAGTGATTCAGTCTCAGTTGGTATGTAGTGGTCAGGCTGTTAAAGCAGCTCCCTTGTGTCTGTCTGTCAAATGGTGTCGGGCTGTGGTTGTACTTGTCATTTCAGGGTTTCTTTTAACATCTAATCACTCCATTAAATAATCTAGTCTGGTCTGGGTGCACAGAAAATGTCATGTCTTCATTTCAAATTTTAAAACTAGATTTTAACAGCTTGTCTGTACTTATTTGTCTATGTGTGATCCAGTCTGTTGACCAAGAACTGTGTAAAGAAACTAAAACTAAGATTTAAGAATGAGTTTAGATACTAAAATATGTGATTTTATGAAATCTGTGCTTGATGGTCAAAGCGAAAAATGGATTAAAATGGCAAGTTTAACCATAGCCAGTGACTCGATATTGTTTTCAGTGCAACTTTGTTTGTAATAAACAGCAGGTTTGAGTGTATTTTATGTGTTGTGTGAAGCAGAATGTCAAAGTTTCTCCTCTTATTCTTCAGTAAATCAAGCACTATCATGAGGCCAAAGGTCCCGCCTCCACTTCCTCCCAAGGTATGAACACCTGAATGCATCCATCAGCCACAGTCATTTGAGGATTTGTTTTAGTGAAGTCTGTTTAATGTCAATGAAATCACGAGGTGCCTGGTTTTAAATTAAAAGTTGGCCCTTTTTCCGTTTCTGTTTTTCCCTTCAGCCGAAGTCGATCTGCTCGTCCCATCCCCCGCAGCAGCAGCAACAACTAAAACACGACGACAGCCATTCACACAGCGAGGACGACGGCGGAGGCGGAGGGACCATCAAGCGCTGCCCAGTCCCAGAGACGCCGAGCCCCGCCAAGCCCGCCTCCAACGTCCCCCCGCGGCCCCCGCCCCCGAAGCTGCCACCCCACCGCCGCAGCAGCCTAGGTAACGAGAGCCCGAAGCGCACGGACGTCGAAAACTCTGCCCCAGAGGATGATGGGAGCTTTAGGCATTTCTGGGAGTGGCTCCACACGCCTCACACAGAGGAGGAGCTGGAGGAGGCTTGGGAGGTGCTGAAGGAGGTGAAAGAGGAGCAGGAAAAAGAGGAGATAAAGGATAAGAGTAAGAGCAGCCACTTGGTAGATTGGTAGTGTCCGCAGACCCTGTTGTCCCCTTCAGCTGGTTGTGTGGTCTCCCATTAGTCAGTCCTCGTAGTCTGATTTCTTTGTTCCATGAGTCCATTAATAACAGTGCTTTGAAATCTTTTGTTTGTAGCTCCTTCCGTCCATCAGCTCCTGCTCAGTTTAAGTGTTTGTCTTTTTTTTTTTTGTTTTGTTTTGTTTTGTTTTGTGAAGCCTGATTGGTTGTTTAACGCAATCAATCAAAAGCTACTAGTCTGCTACCACTACCCCTCGCTTCCTAGGAGGAAGAACGAAGAGGAGAAAACATTGTCCTGGCAACGAAGCATGATAGTGATGTTTGGTGTTTGTTTCTCTGTTTTTTAATTTCACTCATTAGATTAAATTTGGTCTTTCTTGTTCCTGTTGGCAGCTTTATAAATGTGAAGTCTAAAATCTAAGCTAACTTAATCAAACTTAAGGAAACACTTACATCAGAGCACTAGTTTAACAATTTAGGGCTGCCCCCCCTATAGTTAACCAGAAAGGTCATTAGTTGGCAAGATTGGTCACTTAGTCACAGAAAAAAATAACTCCATTAGGAGCTGCACCTTCTCAAAATTAATCAAAACCTTTATGTCTGGACCATGTGTGAATTTACTTTGAAAGGACAGACACAGGAAGTGTCCACGCTCAGCAGTCAAACAGGAGTCAGGTTAATTTCCAGGGCTGGTACCTGCGGTTATTCCACAGGCTAGTTAATAACATGTAGGGCAGGAAATCCAAAGTGTGGGATCATTTTGAGAAGGTGAAGGACGAACCCAAGGTGATATGTAAACTCATCTTCATTGGTCGACTACAAACATGACATATCATCTGAAACATGGAAGTAGCTACATGCCCATTAGCCCACAGCGTCATTAACAGGCGGCTCGCTCAGTGTGTGAAGTGCACTTGTAGATAAAATATAGGCCTATATTAATGAAGGTTCATTAGTACGGTTTTGTATTTCTCTGTAATGTAGCACAGTGTTAACAATGTTACTGATACTATTCTTTCTCACACCTTCAACTCAAACCACCAAAATATATCATTTATAATTAAATTAATATCGTAAACATGTGGCTGACTAGTTGACTAATGACCCTGAATGACGACTATTGGTCAACTAGGAAAATTCTTCATCAGGGGCAGCCCTAAAACAATTACATTCACTTTGAGGCAGGTTTTTTGTCCCTGACAACAACAGACCAGAACATGAGAAATGGAAGCTGAACAGGAACTGAAACACCAAAGCAGAAACAAACTAGTTTTAACTTAGTAAGGACACTTCTGAAGGAATGTACTTACTAAAAATATCCAGTATGATTGGTGTATTTGGAATATTCACAGCATTCCCAGACTGTGCGTCAGATCAAGGTACATCAAGATATTTTAGTTTATATTTTCATTACACTGAAGGAGAAAGCCAGTTCATGATAGCCACAATTCGGTAAAATCTGTCTTTAATTCCCATAATAATCTTGGTACTAAAGTTAACACAAGTTTGTTAGTTTTGTTCACCTGTTTTCTCCCTAGATTAATCAAAAGAAGGTGGGTCATATTATAACAAGTTGGCTGAGGTTGACAGAGCTGTATTTGAGTCCAAGCTCTTCTTATTTGTGCTCTGGATGTTTTACAAAGTATTTTAGAACCAACTTTCTCTCCAGAGATGTTAACTGTGGTGTTAGGTTATGTTTGATTAGGAAACAGATTAGAAAACCTGGATAAATTAAACAAAATTAACATTAAACAAAGATGAGAAACACAGTTATGCTGGATTGCTCCTTTAAGGCTTCAGCTGGCACACATTCCTTTATGTGTGCATATGTGTGAGTGCTGTTCTCTCATGAATGGACATGTTTTTTTTAATAGCTGCTGCATAAAGGTCTGATTATGTTTCTATTTTATCAGCCAACTCGTACTGTTTTTAACAGAGTAGGATTTGCAGATTTGTAGCTTATTTGCCAGAGTATTGGAGTGGTAGAGGAAACAAACCTGTGAATCATTAGTGACCAGTATTGCTGATTATCTCGCAGGTTGTATGTGGTGCATTAACACCTTCCCTTCGCTCATGACTATATTTGATCCTCTGTATTCTTCCTGCTAGTCTGCTCCCTCCTTCCCTCCCTCTCTGCTCCCAGTAGTCTGTTTGTTACTGTTTCAGTTTAACTCTGTCTCCAGTCCTGCAGGTTAGATCGCATTCATTGGGGAAAAAAAAAAAAAACATGTATGAGAAGGTGTCAGTGTGATTGCAGTTTTTTTTTCCATTCACTTTTTGCCTTAAACACACAGCTGCATAATCACATGCTCTCTCTGTGCCTCACACACACACATTTACTCTCTCCTAGTGTGTCCGTCACACATTAAGGTGTGTTTACATTGTTGCAGGGAATGGGTTGAACACAGCGCCACACGGTGGTGGGGAGAGGGAAAGTCCAGCAGACAGACAGTCCACCATGCCCCCTAGTGTCCCCATACGGAAAGACAAGAAGGATGTCCCGGTAAGCTGAGCAGGCTCTGCAGCAGTGGCTTGATGAAGTTCATGTGTGTCCAGATGTTGGATGTTTCACCAGATTTGCTCTCAATAATGATTGTAAATAACAGACATAATGTTCTGGCACTTTACAGAATGTGATTGGCTGTGTTTTGTCACATCCTTTTCGTTGCACTAGCAGCTCCTGGTCAGTCAGGGTGCCTTTGGAAACAATGGGCGGGACTTAATCACCTCCTAATGCTTATTGATACGTTCTGTGGCTGTGCACCTATTTATTCTGTGCTGTCTGGTGCAGGTTCACCTTACGCACACCTGGCGTACATAGCACTATAGCAACAAGCACATAGCATGTAATTTCACACGTGTGTTGGGACAGAACTGTCTGGAAATCCCACCTCCTGGCTCAAATCTGATCAAACCCCTGGCACATATACACATTTTCCAGGGCATCTGTGATGCATCTCTGTAGCTCTGCGGAAGCTTTTCTGCAGAATTATAAATTAGGCATAAGACAAAGTTGTTTACAAACCCCAAATCTGCAAGGAATGTTTACCATCCGTAGGAATCATTGGTGCTGTTAGAAAACTAGAGAGTGTATCTTAATGTGTATCTATAGCTTCATTATTTATAAGATTCACTCAAAGGGTATTAGGATCATTTATAATCCAGTGTTGACTGACTTTGTTGTGTATCTGTCTGTCACAGAAGCCAATCAGTAACGGCCTCCCCCCGACACCCAAAGTCCATGTAAGTAACTGTCTCTTTTTGCTCTTTTTGGAGATTCTGTCAGTAGCACCAAAGGCTTCAAGGAATGATTTTCAGTCTTTGTTAACTGCCCTGTCTGTAAAATGATGTAAGCATGTCATAACTTGGGTGTGTTGATTTTAGACACTGATTTTAACTTCCAGAAGCTCTGTCTTTTATCACCTCAGAAATATAACCAAAGTCAGATGCTTCTTGTCTCAGTCAGACTCTGAAAACCTGGTTCATGCTTTTATTTCCAGTAGGCTGGAAACTGTATCGCACTTTTTGCTGGACTGACAAAGCATACATCAAATTAACTCCAGTTTATTCAGAATGCAGCAGCCAGAATTTGAACAAAAACAAAAATGATGTATATTAAACAAATTGAGTTTACGCTTGTCGTATGAAATGTGCTGTATAAGTGAAGTTGACTTGGCACTTTTAGAAAACATTTTGAGTGGTACTGTGCAGGGGAACAGACATTTTGATATGGAAAGTCAACTTCACGAGGACATACCATCATATTTAATCATCTGTTTCACATCTTTGTTGCATTACACAGTATTTTCCAGTTGGTTTACTCTGTAGCAAACCAGTCAGGTGTTTAAACAGAACTATTCACACCTCCTGAAAGCTCAACAACCCTGGAAGGAATATCTATATTTCGCTCAATGAGGTGTTCACTGCAGAAATGTCAGCTTATCATCTGAGTTCGTCATTTGCATCACATCATCTTCTCCCGTTCGCAGATGGGTGCGTGTTTCTCCAAGGTGTTCAACGGCTGTCCTCTGAAGATCCACTGTGCCACCTCCTGGATCAACCCCGACACCAGAGGTACCCAACAGGAAACCAGACGCACTTACATTCTGAATCAAACCACCTGTCAGTGATTCTTCAGTGTTGTCTAATGTGAGCTGTCGCCTGTTTTTGTGTTTCAGACCAGTATTTGATATTCGGAGCTGAAGAGGGAATCTACACGTTAAACCTTAATGAGCTGCACGAGACCTCGATGGAACAGGTGGGACTGGAGATCACACATTTTAAGATAATATTAACATACTTAATGATGGTTTCACCTTCTTTTTTTTATGTCTTACATCAAAAAAATTGTGACAATTTATTGAAGCTTGTTTTGTTATGATGCTCATTTGCTGCATCTTTCTTCTCTCTCTATCTTGTATCTGTCTGCAGCTCTTTCCCCGGCGGTGTACCTGGCTATATGTCATGAACAATTGTCTTCTTTCCATATCTGGTGAGCGATGACATGTCTGCGTGACTGAATTGTTTTTAAGTTATACAAATAGTTTTCTGTTGTTTGCAGCAGGTTTAGGTCGTGTATGTTTTTCATTCTTTACTTTTGGTTTCATCCCATCTGTTCTTTTTTTATTATTCTATTGTCGTCTGTTTTATTCCACTCCAGGAAAAGCCTCTCAGCTGTACTCCCACACTCTGAGCGGCCTGTTCGAACAGGCCAGACAGTTACAGAAGTTACCAGTAGCCATTCCCACACACAAGCTGCCTGATAAGATGATTCCCAGGTAACTCTCCGAGCAGGAAGTCAAACGTATCAGTCATGTAAATAATAAAAGTGTATCAGAAGGAATAAGAAATCCTTTTTACAGATCTGTGTTAAGTCATAGAAAATTGGACTATCTTGTAATGAAAACAGAACATGTCAGTTTAGCCCCGTTTCCACCAAACACTTTACATTACAGGTTACTAAAAAAACTCCCCACGGTATGAACAGTGGTTACATGAGCCTCTACTGACCAATCAGACTGCAGTGTTCACAGCTCCACCTTTTAGTACCAGATCTGTGTGCTAGGTACCCCAACAGAGGGGAACCTAACATGGGGACGGTACAGAATGGTTCCATTGGTACCATCCACAACATTTCACAGTGGAAACAGAATGAAAGCATACTGAACTGAACTGCTTGGTGGAAACAGGGCTTTGAATCGTCTGTGCCACATGATGTGAACCTCAACACAAAAAGCCTGCTTTGAGTGGCTCTGATTCCTTCCTCTGTCTGTTTACAGGAAGTTTGCGGTGTCCACTAAAATTCCAGACACTAAAGGGTGCCAAAAGTGCTGCGTAGGTGAGTTTTAGTGAAGGGTGATTTTTATTTTTTGTGACTCAAAGTAGTGCTTCTTTCATGACTGTGCAATAACGCAAGCACCAGGCTGACTCTGTTTAACTGGACTTCTTTTCACAAGACACAAAGATGTCAGGGGTAGTTATGAGTTTAAGATTCAAAGTGGACCAAGATAGGAAATTTAAAGTTACTTATCGCTGTTGTTGTTTCTGTGCAGTTCGTAACCCGTACACAGGCCACAAGTACCTGTGTGGAGCCTTTCAGTCTAGTGTCATGCTGTTGGAGTGGGTGGAGTCCATGCAGAAGTTCATGCTCATCAAGGTCAGTTTTCACTCTTGTAGACCTCCCATTTGTGTTTCCTGACCTCCTGTTGTAGCTCATTTTATTACAAAACTAAGAGTATACACATGCAGCACATTTTTAAAGGTTGGTTTAATGTCTTCTGAGGTTAAAACATTGAAGGATGTTTAGATATAAACTGTTTTTTTTATTTAAATGTATTTAAAAATAGCACTAGATACAGATAAACTTGGATCGTTCATACATGTTGCACTCTTATAATGTTGCTGTCTAAATCAGTACAGTTTATTTCTCTAGCAGAACATACTGCTGACTTCCTTCTGTGGGAGATAACGTCGTCCTGTGTCTTCAGAGATACTAAGGCAACTTCCCTCGCTCACCTACTGTCTCTTCCTCTGCTCAACAGAACATCGACTTCCCGTTACCGTGTCCGTTGGAGGTCTTTGAGATGTTGGTGGTCCCGGAGCAGACGTACCCTCTGATCTGTGTGGCCGTCAGTAAAGGCACCGAACTCAACCAGGTGGTCCGGTTCGGCACCGTCAACCCCAACTCTACCTCCTCCTGGTTCACAGAAGCAGGTGAGTGCAGTGTGACCAGTTCTGTTCCAGTTTGTTAACTAACAGCGCTTGATTTGCTCTGAGAGCTGAAACAACTCTGCCCGTGTATTTCTCCCTGCAGACACACCACAGACGTGTGTGATCCACGTCACACAGCTAGAGAGAGACACTATCTTAGTCTGCCTCGACAGTAAGTAACACAGTCATGTTTTTACACGTCTGTGTATTTGCACTGTGCAGTTTTTTACTCCATCTCTCCTTCTCTCTCATTACAGGGTGTATAAAGATCGTGAACCTCCAGGGCAGGTTGAAATCCAGCAGGAAGTTGTCAGCTGAGCTCACCTTCAACTTCCAGATCGAATCCACAGGTGAAGAAAAAAAAGAGCCACACAAAAATACAACTCACGACATAGATGTAGAGACCAAAATATCTTTCATTCACTGAAAGAATGAGTGATATTTCATACTTGACTTTACATGCTTACCTTCTAGTGGAGACAGTCCTTCTTATTGTTTCTGTTTCTCTGCAGTTTGTCTCCAAGACAGTGTACTGGCCTTCTGGAAGCACGGCATGCAGGGACGCAGTTTCAAGACCAATGAGGTGAGATCAATGTGGAGTGTTTCTGTGTGTGTCTGCCTGTGTTAGAGGAACATGCACAGTAGATGGAACCTCCAAACCGTACAATGAGGTTCACTCTCAGGCATCATGGCAGGATGTTATTTAATCTCACAATATAACAGGATTTTGATTACCATTGTTGTCGCAGCTGAATTACTAGAAGGTGAGTGATGCACGATATTAGATTAACAGTATAGGTAGATATGTCAGACCTGCGAAGTCGTGAAATTAAAGGGGACCTTTGACATTTTTCAACATGGACCCTATTTTCCGATGTTAATGTATCTAAAGCACTATTCGGACGGGATTAGTTTTACATGGGCACGTGGGGTAATGTCACTTTACCGCAGGACGTCATAATAAGTAATATTAATGGCCGATTCGCACAGGATAAGAAATATCAGTAAAACTACCACAATTGGGAGGGGTAAATCCATTCACGCACCGCCGTGCTCTCCTGCCATCATGAGCGTATGATAGGACTGTCAAAAGCACCATGAAATTGAGTTCGAATATTTTCGAATTAATTTAGTAGAGTTCGAATAATATTAGAATTTATTATTATTATTATTATTTATTTATTTTTACAAAAAAAAAAACACACAAAAAATAAGATGCTTATTGCTGACGCAATATGAACATGACACTCGGATGAAAACACCTGTTCTGACCTCACTGAAGTGCCAGGTATGAACAACTTATGCCTCGCTATCTGAGCAATGTTTGGATACTTCAGTGCGTAGTTTTCCACCACAAGAGTGGATCCTGTTCGGCTCGTAGTGGTGTCTCATTCTGGTAACGTTTCATCTCTTCTTCAAAAAGGGTAGGCAGGGAGGCAGCAGGTGCAACACTCTCCCTGTATGTCTCCCCGAACAGGTCACACATTGCGGACAGCGCAGTGGGTGGTTTTGGCGCAGCGGGCTCCTCCGTCGGCGCCTCTCCTTCCCTCTGCGTCCCTCTCTGGCCCGGCTCGTGCGCGAGCCATCTCCGCCCGAACGGGATTTGCCGTGATATACAGCATTATTAATAGTATTAATTAATTATTAATGATATTCGAATGATCAAATTTAGGTTCTAACTTTTAAAAAAATAAATATATTTGAATATATTTATAACTTCGATTTTTGTTTTTTGACAGCCCTAACACACATATTTACTGCTGGTCTATTCGCAAGGGATTAGTATTACCTGAGGTAATTGTCCTGGACCCTTTTACAGAAGGTTAAAGTCGCGGTAATCTTTACTGACATCGTGCGGTAATGATTACTGACATGGCACATTTGGACGGGACTAAAATCTCTGGTAATTATTACTTTACCCCTCGTCCCTATGTAAAACTAATCCCGTCCCAATAGGGCTTTAGTGACTAATGGAGAACAATATTTGAAACTGGTCCAGTAACGAGCGAGAGCGCTGCAGCTGACAGCAGTGAAACAGGCTGCAACATAACCACTGACAACATTCGTGCACCGTCCATCTCTCCACCTAAAGAGCTTGTTTTTGCCACTGACAGGTTCAGACTGTTATTATTAGTGTCTGAAAACGTTATGGAAAGGATCCTTACAGAGATAGACCTTTTTGTTTAAGACTAAGATCATTTTTGTTTAACCAGAAATAGCAAAAAAATCACTATTGCCAAACTCACCAGACTCCTTTTAAACAAACACTAATTTAAGAGTGTATAGAGCCAGCATGTTTTCATGTCTAAATAGGGGAACTATGGGTTTATTTTAACCACACCAGAGTTGGTTAATGTTGGAACAATGAAAAGACAAACCAACAGTGTTTGTGAGTTTTATGTTGTAGTTTTTTTAACTTTGATTGAAGTGTGTTTTATGATGATAAAATTACTGTTTGTTTTAGAGGAGTCTGGTGGGTGTGGCGATGGTGATTTCGGGGCTGTTTCTGGTTAAACAAAAAGGATCTTACTCTTTAACAAACAGGTGTGCCAACACGTATTGCCACCGCCGATGTTGGGTTGTACATCGACATAAATAGGGCACACAGCGTTTGCCATCGGTGTTTTTGACCTCTATAATGACAAACTGAGTCTGTCAGGGGCAAACAAGCAATTTTTAGTGGATATAAATTAACACTGCGCTATTGCCCCGAAAGATTACATTGCAAACTGTTTGGTTGCTGCCATCTGCAATGCTCTCACTCAATACTGGACCAGTTGTTCCCATTAGTCACTTAGAAACAAAAACATGGGAAAACAGGGTCCAGGTTGAAAAATACTGAAGGTTACCCTTTAAGCCTAAATTAGCTATTTTTTATCATGACTTAAATAATGTCCCTATTTAATTTGAAAGATACTTGAATTTTAACTGGTGTCTCCCGTCAAGCTCTGACCTCTGTCTGTTTTTCTCTCTTTCTCATACACTCATCAGATCACCCAGGAGATCTCTGATAGCACACGCATCTTCAGACTACTGGGATCAGACAGGTGAGAACACACACACACACCTTCTCACTTATATACATCACACACACACGTTTAGGTCTCTGTTAACACCCTCTCTGATGTCTCATCACTGAAGACGTTCTGACCGAAGAGATCCAGAGGAAAGAGGTCGCACTCGGCCCAGGTACACCCACTGCTCGCTGGCCACTGCCAGCTCAAATCACTGTCTCTTTCTGTCGGGACTCTCGAGGTCTGCTTGTTGACAGATGTCACTGATCAGGAGCATTAACACCGTGTGAGAGGAGGAGAGAGTGTGTCTGAGGAAATTCACTTTAATGGGGATATAACCTGTGGAGTCACGACAGCATAGACACCAAAATCATGCTTGTCTGGGCTGATGCTGCAAGCTAACACTGGTTTTAACTGACAGGAGGACAGCAGCAATATCACAAAATTAAAACAAAGCAGTTGCAGCAGCTCTTAAAGGAATACTTGACCCACAAGATGAGCATTTGTATATTAATTACTCACCCCGTGTCACGTTGAACTCGAGAAGAAAATGTGTCTTTCCTGCCTCCAAGATGAACAGAGAATCTGAAAGAAAGAACTGAGAGCATTCTAGAGGGGGCGGGGGCGCATTTACCAACTCCTGCAGTGTAACGCAAGTCTCATCTAGCGCTTTTTTCTTTACACCACATGTCACATTCACCCATTCCCACACTGGTGGCCAAGGCTACAATATAAGGTGGCACCTGCTACTCCGTAACCATTTGCACGCATTCACACACCGATGGAACAGCCATCGGGAGCAATTTGGGGTTCAGTATCTTGCCCAAGGATACTTCAACACTCGGACTGGGGATGTAACTGCCGAGCCACAGCCACCCGCGTGTGTGCTCAGTACTTCCCAAACACATGCATTTTTGCCAGAACCTTACATTTAAAACACTTCTGTATAAACAAATTTTGAGGTTATTGCGAAAATGCATGTGTTTGGGAAGTACTGAGCATATGACTGGATAAATGAGACTTTGATTCTATTGCAGAAGTTGTGTGAGAGTTTGTAAAAGGATCTTTTAATAGTTTTGTCAGACATGGTTACCGACAACTCAGTTTTTGGATTCTTGGTTCACCATTGAGGCATGCGCTCACAAATTCACCGTAACACATGGTGAGTAATTGATATACAAACAGTCTTTTTTGGGTGAAGAACACCTTTAAGTGTGTCATGGACTGATAAAACCTGCACAAATATAATAGTTTTGACCTGCAGAGAATGATTCTTGGATGGTTTTGGTGTTTATTGTGTTGTTACCGAGCAGCTGAGTCCCTCTGAGTTATGATGTGTGAATGTGTGAGCCTTTGGGTCCCTTTAAAACAGTATTAACAGCTTTCTCTCAGTTTTCTTCAGGGTATACAGTGTACTGTGTGAAGGGTTTACTGTTGGAGCAAGTCATCTCCCTCTGCTGCCTTTTTCCAAATAACAGGGCTTTTACAGGCTTGGACCATATCCTGTGTGGGCTGCTGGCTGGCTCTAACATATTGCTACAATAAATCCTGGGCCTTTACTATGTCGTCATACTTTATTTTACTCAGCGTTGTGTTTATTTGTGCCAGAAGCAGGCTGGCTCTGGGATTTAACGGTGACATAAAGACTGATTCATGTTTTGTTACCTGCTTGAATCTAAACTGGACCTTCTGTGTGTGTGTGTGCTTGTGTTTTTGGCTCTGTTTGTTTTGCAGGGTGGTGGTGCTGGAGAGCAGGCCTACAGACAACCCCACAGCCCACAGCAACCTCTACATCCTGGCAGGCCACGAAAACAGCTACTGAGACACACAGACACACACACATGCACATAAACACACTCTCTAAACAGCCTACCACTAATGCAAACAAGGGAGTGAGCGACCGGGAGACACACTCAGCCCCAACCTTACCGCTAACCCACCCACCAGACCTCCTGTGTAACTGGGAGACGAGCCGTTAATGGGTGCAGATGTGGATTCCCAGTTGTTTATAAATGCACCGCAGTGTTATATGTGTATTAGTTAAGCGTGTTGTAGTAGGGCGGCAGGTTGTGGAGCCGTTCCCGCTGTTAAAACCGCTGGTCCCAGGCCAGTTTGGGTTGAGATAGCCGCGGGAATCTGCACCTTAGTCGAGCGACTTCAACCCAGAATCCTTCCTGACACCATCCCACCTTTCCCTGCATACTGCACACTGGGAAAACCGCATCCAGCACAGAAGTCTGACGCCAACACTACTTCTACTACTAGTTCTACACATACTACTACTACTACTGCTACTCGCGCTAAAGCTTCACAGAAGAGCCATCTTGCACAGAAAACCTTTCATCGTCCTTCCCTCTGTCTCCCTTTTTTTTTTAAACTACACCTTTATTTATTGTGGCATGATGTAACTTTAACAACCAGGATGGCTTTCCTGTTTTATTTGTTTTTTAAAAAAGAAAAGAAAAAAAAAAAGAAAACCGACTAAAAAGCTTCGCCACTTCTGCTAGCATCGAACTCCAGTACCCGTCACCACACCACACAAGTGCTTAATTGACCTCTATTTAATTGTTGTAAATATAAATGTAGTATTTTTTTGACAGAGACGAACACTAAAAAGACTGGTCATGTAGATAGGCGTGTGTATAGTTGCTCTGAGAAGAACAGAGAGAGAGACAGGCACGGAGGAGTGACGGGGCGGTTAATTCACTTCCTGGTTCCCTGATCACGTGACGAGGGAGAGGAAGCAGAGAGCCCTGCGGTCTCCTCAGGTGAACAGCTTTAGCAATCCGATATTACACGAATAATCCGGAGCTCAGGATCGAACCGAGCGAAACACAGGAAGCAGCACCGATTGGTCATTTTAATTTTGCATGCGCCACCATCAAAACTTCCTGCTCGTTCGCACCATAGCAACAGTCGTCAGGGCAACAGAGGTTACAAATTCTGCTCATTTTAAGTTTTTCCAGCCGTCATTTTATGTTAACGCTGTTTTAATCAGAAAGCTTTTTTTACTTTGCTATTTTTTTATTTTTATGGAACCACTGGTGTTAAAAATTTGCACAGAGACAAAGGTATTTGATAAACAAATGTGATGTCATTATAATATATGACCTTGTGTGTATGCACAGTGTGTGTGCGTGTGTATGTGTGTGTGCGTAGGCATAGAATATGCACATACAAGTGCGTCATGTACAGATTTTGGCTATAACAAGTGACAGTGGTGTTTATCAAGAGAAGGCCGCCTGACAAGAGCAACAACAGATATTAAAAACCAATTTTAAAAAAGCTGGATTTACACAGAAGGAAAAATTATTTATATTTATTCAGTAGAGCTGGTTTGTATTAAATGTTAGCATTAAAATTAGCTTCTGTGGAATGTGGTTTGACATATTTCACCATGAATAACCAGGAACTATCTAAATAATTAGTGTCCGGAAACCACTCCTTGTGGTACTCCGAAGAGGACAAAACAAACACTACAACTTGTTTTAAAATACTGCTTGAAGAATATCTATCAAGAGAAGACAGAATCACATTTGGGCCAAATTAAATGCAAATAAAGAGCCAGTGCTTCCCATTCTTAGCTGGCTTCTGTTCTGCTAGTCACTAAAACAAAATGGCTTCTCTCACTGAAAGCTTCTGTGTACATCCAATCATTTAATCCTTTTAGTCATATTCGGAGAAGTGTTTTAACTTCGGCCTTCATCGCTGTGACTTCTTTAAAGGCTGACATCTGTATAAGAGATCACTACATGCATGTAGATGTGCACCGTGTGGTGTATAGGAGCGTCTACATGTGGCAGTACACTACCAGTCTTTACAAGCTGTGACACTAGAGGTTGCTTCAGAGGACATGAACACTAGTTTAGCTGGATTTAACCGAGGCACCATCACTGAACCTGAGATCTTACAGAGCTGAAACGTTTCGGTTCATGTGTCAAGTTTCCCATTCAGTTCTTTGTTCTCTCTCACTAAAGAGTACAGCTGATATCTAAACCAGCCACAAAATTAACAAGTTGGAAAGGTTAAAAGCTGCTCCTCACACGCAGCATTAAGTGATGTCATCACATCAATGAAAAATTAAATACCATTAATATGATGATAAAGAATTTATTACCACTATGGCCACATACCTCTGAATTTAATGGGCAGTGTGGTCGGGGTGTAAATTACCAGTGTCATCACGATGCAGTATTATATCGATTCTTTGGACAACGATACGATAATTGCCGATATTACAAAGTCTGTCACGATACGATTTCGATTCGTGATTGATATGAGATGATATTAAATGCCCATCTAACACAATCAGTCACAAAGGAAGCTGCCATCCATTCTCTTTTGCTTTTGGCCATAAAAGATAAAAACAACGCATATATAAATAACTGTAGCCTCTTAAGTGCAGTGAAGCTAACGTTAAACTGACTGAAGTTAACCTTCAGGGCTTTCAATCGTTTTCCGAAAACTTCTCAAACTTCTCCCAGCAGCTATAAAACATGGATTAACGACAGCAGTGTTTAACATAAGTATCTCAGCTCAGTAATAGCTGTCAAGGTTCATGGACAAAACAATTGTTGTTGCTAATCACCCATTATTAGCTTTAGCATGTTAACATTGCATAAGTTAGCCTAGTGGCTAGCGGACTTTTTCCTCTACTTATAGCCAAACAGATTACATGTAACATTATTTTTCTCAATCACCATTGGTTTAAGTCACCGGGAAGTTAGTGAAGTGAGATGGCCGTCCGGGCAGGTAACGTTATGTCGTGTTTTATCTCCTAACACCATTGTTCACGTACGGCATGTGCTTTGTCTATTGACACTGCTGATGTATTCCCGAATAAATCTCTTTTCTCTTGGCTGCTCGCCATCTGCCTGCCACTGTTTAACAGTGACGCAGACTTTCAGAATAAAAGCGCACCCTAAAGATGATGATATAGATCGGTGTTTTCACTTTGTATCGATGATACAGGACCATTGATCATCGAATTGATATATCGATCCAAATCGATGGATTGTTACACCCCTAAAATGTGGTATGTTATAAAACATGACTAAAGATTTAACACGTCATCAGTCGCTACAAACATAACTGAAACCCAACAATGTCAATCTTTTAAGAATTAAGGCTGGCTGTGGAGTAAATGGAAGATTTACTAATGGATGAGAACATTTCAGCTCTGTATGGATGTGTCACTGAATGTTACTAAGGTGGTTTTAAAGGGACATGTAACCATGTTGAAGGACTGACAGTTTAAGAAAATGATGTGTCAAAAAGTGGAAATCTCAACCTTTTTTGGTCACTTATCCAACATGGCAGCATGTCCGTCAGTGACAGGAATCACACCAACATCCCTACGCACACTTCACTATGTTTTCATGGGGTTTTAAACTGATCCGCTCACTGGATTCCAGCTCCTGATGCTGTATTGCTCTGTTGTGGTGAAGTAGCTAAAACACGCATATTCTAGTTCAGTGTAGAGAGCTTGAATCCACTGTGAGGATTTAAATTATTTGTGTGCTTTTTTAAAACACTTGAGCTCAATTTTCTTCTATAAAATGCCCACGGAGTGTTACGCTGGAAAACACGTTAGAAATATGAATCATACGAGACATGAAGACAACACATTTAATTGTCAGTTTGGAGTGGAAAATGCCATAGAAGCCATAGAAGAGAGGGGGTTAACTCATTTCTAGGGCAGGACATTTGCTTAAACCAGGATTTAAACTGTTATTCAGAGCGTAGTACAGTTAGTTTGGACTTTTGTTTTGAAATACCGTCAAAGTGAACAACATCCCCAAGTTAGCAATTGAGCCCAAATCATGCTAATACGTATGTGTCGAGCCAAAATTAGGGCTGCCTCCGAATAAGAATTTTCCTTGTCGACCAGTAGTCGTCATTTAGGGCCATTAGTCGACTAGTCGCCCACATGTTTTTGATATTAATTAATTAATCATTAAATTATATATTTTGCTGTCAGCAAAGCAGTAATGATTGTGCTAAGTGGCTAATGGGCATGTAGCTACTTCCATGTTTCAGATGATATGTCATGTTTGTAGTCGACCAATGAAGATGAGTTTACATATCACCTTGGGTTCGTCCTTCACCTTCTCAAAATGATCCCACACTTTGGATTTCCTGCCCAACATGTTATTAACTAGCCTGTGGAATAACCGCAGGTACCAGCCCTGGAAATTAGGGGCCGCATACATGCCTGGAAAACGCGAAAGGTTGTGCCTTTTCACGTCCTGTGTCTGTCCTTTCAAATGAATTCCCACATGGTCCAGTCATATAGGTTTTGAGTTATTGTGACAAGGTGCAGCTCCTAATAGAGTTTTTTTCTTTCTGCGACTAAGCAACCAATGAAATCTTGCCGACTAAAGACCTTTCTGGTCGACTAACGTTTGGTCGACTGCCAGGGGGCAGCCCTAGACAACACCCATTAATACACAAGTGTCGTAGTTTCATTGCTGCAGCCAAGTTTTATTCACACAATCAGGTTATTTAACAAAAATTTTTTTGTGTCAGTTGTTCATTTAGTGTCAAAAATCTATCAGCTCTGCCAAGTATACTTAATAGCCTCACATTGACGTTGTCAGCCATCAATCCTAATAATAACTTCTCATATTTAGGCTCAATTCTTCTGATTTAATTGACTCCTTTCTTCTTCACTGGCTCAAAAAAATGTATCTGATATTTCCTTACAGTAGGGTTCAGTTGATGTCAAAGAAGGTATATTTTACATTTTTAAATTGAATGCCAAAATAGATTGTTAAACATTTTCATGGCCAAGTTTAGATAGTCTACCCCGTGGGATGTCCTAAGTGGGGGAAAAAAAAAAAGTCTGATTTGAAAGACAGCCATCAACAGCATATGAGGTTAGTGTTCAACACGACATCTCTGAGACTCTTCTTAAATCCACTTCGTCCTCTCAGCTGACGTATATAAATGATCAGAAGTTGAGAATCACTGTTTCTAAAACACATGAAAACAAAGTGAATGAGAGATTCCACTCAAAGCAACCTAAGGTTTTGCTTTTGTTTTATTTTTAAGTATTCTTCATTTTCTGAAATATCCAGTTGCTTTGATTTTTATTTTATCTCAAACTTAAGAAAACTTAAACCATGAAGCTGCACGTCTAAAATCGTGAACAGTCTACATAGATACAAGCAATTCTTAAAATCTCATACCTTTTTTTTGATGTGGGGCTCATGACTTTTAATTTTGGGGAAACTGTTGTGTTCACAGAATAACCAAGTTTCTGTAGGTTTGAATGATGCTTCCAAGACTCATGTTTCTGCTGTCATAGACACAATTTAATCTGCAGTATAATCCGTTAAAGCAGGTGCCAACTCGGCCTCCATTGTGCTGAAATGTTACAAGTCCATTTATGTTTTTATGACCTCAGTTTCTCCTGGGTCAAATCATGTGTGAGAATAACTCATGGGGGTTGTTTTAAGATGATGTGGACACCAGATGTGTGGATTATTCTGAATGAGACAGCCACAGACTAGAGAAGTAAATTGGCGTTAGGATTGCCTGTTCTGTCTGGCTCTCATCTGCAGTATCTGGTGCTCTGAGCAGATTAAACGAAACGCCGATGGGTTATTTGCTGAAGCAGTTTGATCCCCAGGTCTCCTCCAAATATACAGCGAAACTCATTAAGTCTCCTCTGTTCTGTCGCTATTACATCACTTTTGTCTTTTGTTTTCATAATGCAATGCACACGTTATGAACTGTATATAGTGTAAAATAAAAATGGGTTTGTTTTACATACTGTATAATTGCCTATATTTTGTTTCAGAAGTGTAACAGATTTATGAGATGACAGGTTAACACATTAAAAAGAAGGAACTCAAATATTGAGTGTCTTATGGTGGTTATTTCTGACGGGGAGCAGAAACATTTTGGCGTCATGGTGGAAAAGGTACAAGTGTTAATGAATGTAAAGATGGCTGAATTATGTCCTGCTATTGTACATTCTGGCTCACTGCTATACTCACTGTCATGGTTTACAGGGACACTCAAATAGAATGGCTCTTACCGTAATATTATTAGTAACATTTTTGTTTTCTAAAGAGCGTCTTGTTTTTCTACAATGTCACTGATCTGCCTGCTGAAAAACGGTCCAGTCAGTCCACAGCTTCATTATTATAACATGTTAGATATCCGGAGGGTCGCCATTTCAAGTACCTGTCCAGACTAAGTATGGAGTATGGGCTAGTAGCTGGAGAGGTGCCAGTTCGCCTCCTAGGTACTGCCGAGGTGCCCTTGAGCAAGGCAACGAACCCCCCAGTTGCTCAGGGCATCTGTCCAAGACGGCTCCCTCGCTCTGACGTGTATTTAATGCATGTATAGGTCCTGTTTGTGCAGGTGTGTGTATTTCAGGCCTGTGTGTACATGACAACAGAGTGACAAAATCTAATTTTTCCCTCAGGGATTAATAAAGTATTTCTTCTTCTTCTTCTACTCTAATTTATTTTAATCCCACTGTGTTGTTGTTGATGAGGGGAAATGTGGTTGTTTTTTGTCTTTTATGAGCAGCTGGACAGCTGAATTTCTATTTCTTTTTCTATTTTATTTTCATTGATCATTCATCTCCATCTTGTCCTTTTTTCTTCTATTTTTCTTCTAATTTTAATCTACATCCTCTACTACTACTTCTACTTATTCTTCATTATCTTCTACTACTACTACTACTTCTACTACTACTACTACTACGCTCTACTACTTATTCTTCTTCATCATCTTCTCCTACCACTACTTCTTCCTCTTCTACCACTTCTTCTTCTACTACCACTACCACCACTACTTCTTGTTCTACTACCACTTCCTCTTCTACTTCTTCTTCCTCTTCTACCACTTCTTCTTCTACTACCACTACCACCACTACTTCTT